AATAATTATTCATGTCCTAAGTCTGATTGAATTTTTAGAATGAAATTATATTTACTGTCTATATTAGTGTCTCTCCCGATAGATATTCTCTTGACTGTGCAAGTATTTTATTAATTCGAAGTGAACATTTTTCAAAAGAAATAATCTGAAATAAATATTTAGTTATGTGGACTTCAGCTGTAGACCAGTGTGATTTCCGAGATAAATAATTCGTGTCCTTAGTCTGACTGAATTTTCAGAATGAAAGTATATTCCTTGTCTATATTAGCGTATATCTTCAATTTGAACATTTTTCTAAGAGGAATACACTGATATATATACATAAGTATGTGGACTTCACTGTGATTTCCCAGAAAAATAATCAATGNCAGTTCTTGAAAGATGTTTTCCTTTCGGAGGATTTCGTTACATAATCCAATCATAAATAATTAAAGACATCTAAAACATTTCCGAATCCTCGTTTCACTCTAGTTACTTATGATATACTTCAAAGCACGGAAGAGATAGATATGTTAATTCAAATGGTATCAAAGACAAATTGTTAGTACATCAAGATGAACTATTTCAATGCAGAAAGTGTGAGTTACATCTTACACTATACTGTTTGGCGATAAGGAAAAGAGAGGGGCCTGGCGAGATACTCTGGTAGGGTGGAATTATTTTTCAAGAGTGATGGTATAGCAAGGTTTTGGGATGAAAGTTGAATATTTTGTCGATATACACCCACTATTCGCGGATTTTGAGTATATAAGCTCCTGTGTGGTAGTTCACCACCATCAGATCATCCCGATTTGTTTAGAGAGTACATCTCTTTTTTTCAAAACCAGCAGTAGTGCCTGTTCTAATACGAAAGTGCAAAATGAAGGTAGGACATTTCTGAGTGAAAAGTTCGGTGGTGATGGTTTTCAAACTCGAGTTTTCCTTTTCCTGAATATCATTATCTGAAATAATCCAACGTAGTTAATTCAATTTCTGTGTCACTGATTTCTAATCAGGGCGCCGGATTGTATCCGACAGTGAGTTGGAAATTGTAACTAAAACTAATTTATAATCCATAGATTTCATCAACAATAACATAAATAAAAATAAAAATTTCAAATATACTTTGTCATTATTCAAACATAGATATTTATTGGCTCACAAAACAAATTGTGGTTATTTTGCTGTGAGTTAACGTACATCAAAAAAATGGTCAGTTTTCCTTTCATTCAACATCATTTCTGATCTCCAGAGTAATTCAATTTTTTCTGAAGTATTTTAGCATAACTTATTACTTTCACTTCAATTTCGGTAAAGGAACCTTGCTGCTTGCATTGAAGACGTAAATACTCAAAATATATACTCTTTTTTCAATAACCAATTTTTTTTCAATCTTAAAGTGAATGTAATAGGTACATTCATATTTTCACAAATTTTCTCGTACTTGGTACAATTTTTTCTTATGTTTCTTATGGAATTATATAAATAGTTTCGAGAAAGAAATTCATGACGATCTTGCTTTCGCAGATGGCAGTTATGTAAATATTATGTGAAAATGATTTTTATGTGCATCAATGAGCAATGCCATAATTATGGAAATCCTGTTGAATATCATTACCAGCTTTACCTGTTTCACACAAGATAAACTAATTTTATCACACATTCTTCATTCGAATGTTCAAAGAAGTCTAATTGCTTTTATTTTGTGGTCGTAAACAATTTGCGTGTGACATTTCTCTCATAACTCACCGGATAAGTCAGTGTGCAGAAATTCAATCGAAACGAGATCTTCTTTTTCATATTTCCTCCATATAAGAAAATAACCTTGGCATTTTGATTTCAATCATACCAAGTGTCAGCTATCCAGTAATTTTGATCATATAATTTGAAAAATTTTGATTAAATCAAAGCACCAGAACTAGAGTACTTTTCTTGACACTCGTTTCACCAAGCAACTTGTCGTCCTCAGGAAATGAAGTAGTTTAGAGATCTATTGTAGCTCTGGTGTTTGAGAGCTTTGCTTGTTTCAATATCAGAAAAATAAAAGTACCATTGTATCAGTTGGATCATCCAAGATAACGAAAATTCAAGTGAAACGAACAGTTTTTAAAGAATATTCTTGGAACATCACATAATTTGAGACTTTGTGATGAATACATAGTTTTCAATAAGAGACTATAAGAAAATCTTCGAGAAGTTTTTCTACAAGGACAAAATTCTAACGCAGAAGTATATTTGGGGCGCTCTGTTTTTCATCGACAATCATAAACTTCTATATACTATTTTTCTCCTGAAGAAACATCTATTGGCAACAATAATATCTTGGATTCCCATCCAACCTGTCATTTCACAAAATTATTGTCAAATAGTAATAAAAAATGCGACTAAGGGTTAATAACAAATAAGTATATGTCTCTCAACACTGAATCTACTGTTTCATAATCTTCTAAACACAAAGGCAGAATTTTTTGATGGCGCAAGTGTCTTCAGAATAAATGATGATTTAAATTACAGTATTGTGTTCGTAGGTCTCTAAGACCATGGAATTAGCCTAAGCTGGCAGATTTTTCCAGAAATTTGACTCTTCCTGCAGTTCAAGTATTCTGTGTTTATTTGGGAAAACGTAAAGCGATTCCATTGAAAAACACTGGGCGAAGGAAGTTGCTGGAAGTGCCGTTTCTTGAGAGTCAACAGTTCCATTACTTTCCAAGCCAGTGGAGTACTTTTATCCAGGCAGTTCACCACTGAACTGGACGTTGTTCAGTAAAAGTCAAGTACCTAAAGAGCCATGAATATTTTTATCTATCTGGGTCTGCACCAGATTCTAAACGTTCCTCGGTACTTTTCCTCCTGCAAGATTTCCATAGATGGTGACTGATGTGGAAGGCACCAGAGATAGGCAGGCAAACAAGTCCCTATACACTAGAGGCTTTCGGTCACTGATAAGTTGCTGCATCGTGATCGTTGGTCTGGTAATCATCACATATTATACACGATGGGTTTGTTTTGATCCTGAGCCCCAAAATTTTCCATAGAACCTTCGGCATGTCTAGATAGTCTGTCTTTTTCCATCTCGATGATTTCTTTCAAGATTTTTCTCCAGCGAAGGCTATGGTAGTCAACTGAATAATTCAATATCATCAGGCATAATTTTTTAATCAAAGTTCAGTGGCCATGAAAAAATAGTTCCAACAAATGATAGACAGTATGCAGTATGGTATTCAATGGAAAACCTTTTTCAAATGTTCAGTCTACTTCAGAAGCCGAAAAAATCATTCAGCACAAAAATACTCATTCTTCAATAACAAACGAATGCCTTGTTTGGTTTAATGAAGAAAACTGCAATCCGCGATCGTCGTAAACTTTTCAAATATGTTCCTATTACGTATCTATATTTGGATCAGTTCTTGGAAGATGTTTTCCTTTCGGAGGATTTCGTTACATAATCCAATCATAAATAATTAAAGACATCTAAAACATTTCCAATCATCGATGTCGAACGTGGAACGTAAACTTATCAGTAAACTCTATAATAACAGGTATCTAGAGTAAAACGTGTCGATATATACATGATTTTAATGAGTGGAACATTTAGAAGATAAATTAGAAGATAGACTACTTTCGCCTTCTTATCGAGGATTGAGGTGAATCACCAATTTACATAACTTGAGATGGAATTTGAGTAATTGAATTGCTCAATCGCTATTACATCTTCTTAATTTGGCAATAATGTCATTAATTAGTCGAAAAAAGCGCGTTGCTTTCTTTTACGGTTCAGGAAACCATTTCAATGAGAGCAGATTCATCGTTCCAGCAATGAATAGTGGCAATATTCTCCCTGCTCTTTTCTGATGAGAAAAGATTATCATTTCACTGATTTTTGGTAGATAGAAATTCATATTTCAAAGGAATAGGTACAAACAATATTCTACAGGAAGTAATTCGTATGATATCCTGATTCATGCGTTCCAAATTTTCATTTTTTATTTTCTGATGTTTGTGAAAAATATAAAATTGGATAAGAAACAAATTTCCAGTGCCACAATGAACCAACAGAAAATGTAAACCTTGTCAAAGTACAACGTTTCACTGGATTCGAGAAGTTACTATGTTACTCACTTATCTCCTAATTACGACAATTTTTTATTTGTTTTTTGCGAGGTTATGTTCTATTGTGAGACACTCTGATTTGCAGTTGAAGCTTCAACTGAACCTTCCAGTGTACGAACAGAAAATGCAAGAAAATCTTTCAGAAGGTGGTTTATAAAATTTTAATTAATATTTCGATTTTTTTTTAATTTCCAGGACTCCATGAACTTCATTTACATTTTGAAATTCATGCAATATACAACTTAACTACTCCAAATTTCTGTTTTGTGAACTTTATGGATAACTTTATTGATCAATGCTCACCTTGGATTAGCTTAGGTCCAAAGTGAGTGGATCTATTCGACCTACACCGCAACCCGCAAAGCTCTATTGTGGCTCACACCTATTCACACTCGACCAAATGAATCCAGCTTCTTAACGAAGCCGATAAATACATCAAGACCTTCATTTTGATAAATCCCAAGATCATTGTCTAGAGATGAAAGTAAAATAACTGTGCTTACAAACAACGAAACTCTACAATAAGTTTGAATTGATAAGCCCACTTCCATTAAATATACTTCAAGTATGATTAAATACTCATGAACGATGAATTCGAACATACACTATTCTCTGTTTATGTCCCACTTGCTGATGAACTCATTGCTATTCAAACTCATCTTGTTATCCTGTAATGAACCTGGTTGTTTTCCAGTTGAAGCCAAATATTTCTTAATATTCATGTCTCAATATAACCTCCAATTAATTTAATGACCGGGCTGAAAGTTTTCTTTCCTTCTGTTTCAACTCTCTAAATTTCAAACTTGAATAGATAACGTACCAACTCTAGACTATTCTTTTAGATTTCTTGGTACTACATCCAGCCTTGAGGGAGTCTTTACCACACCTTCGATTGCTATTCATTCCAAAACATGAAAATATCACCTTTTTGAACTGCGGTGATCATATCAGGATACTAACACCATTTTCTCTTCCAGGTTGCCATTATTGCGTTAGCTACAATGACCATGGTCTTGGCAGAGCCTCCAGTTCCAAGCAGCCAGTACCTTCCCTCAAACCAGTACATTCCACCATCAACCCAATATGGAGCTCCTAGCGCGCCAAAACCATTTTCTCCTCCTTCAAGCACTTACGGTGCACCTGCACAAACAGAAGCTATTCTGAAACCTTCAAACGCTTATGGACCACCCAGCGACACCTACGGAGCACCTAGTTCTCAATACGGACCACCCAGCACTCAGTATGGACCACCCAGCACTCAGTACGGACCTCCTGGTTACGCTAATGGAAACGGTGATCAGTCGGTAAGACATTTTTGAAAGTTGTCCTGCCACAAAGTACCCCAGTTATACTTCAGAAATTAGTGATATTTTTTTATTGAATAGGATCTGTCTGATCTGAAGATTTATTTCAGGTCTTCGGGAACATGTTGGGTTCATTGTTTTTTCTGCCTATCTTTGCGTGACTCCCATTTCAGTTCAATTCCTGTTCAATACAAGAATTGTCATAAAAACTGATGCAACTTGTACAGGTTCTTCGTTAGATATTTCTCACATTCTTCCAGACATAATTTGGGATGTTTAAAAATTGTTGCTTCCTGAAATCAAGTGCCACACATTCACAGAAAATATGACGCACTGTTTCTGTTTCTTTGTTGGACTGCCAGCAATTAATGTGTCCGTTTCATAGCATCAAGTGTCCTTCAAAAGAATTGTGTTCTGTAAGTAGTCCTCTAAGTGTTCTGAGCCAATCCTCGCTTCATTGAAACAATTCTTTCTCTGAAGAAATCTCTTCGTATTGGCCCATTTCTAGGTCTGGTCTGGTCCAGTTTACAAAGATTTCTATACTTCTACAGCGGGTTCAGAACCCATAAATGTATCTGTTGAACCATGTCTAAGGATCACATCAGCTTTTTCTTTGGCTATGAACTAAAAAGAAAATATTTAATATTACTCTACTCTTATGGTTACCGGAATGAATTCATAAAATATTCTTCCCTTTCTTATGCGACAGGAAACCATATCATTCAAAAGAAAGATCTGTTCGACAGTATTAAAGTTGAACAAATAATGAAAATTCATTTTGATATCGTTAACGTACTATATGGAATCTCTTCCAAAAGATAATGGAATATTTCCTAGAAATACCTTTGTGGCTTTTGAGCTTGTTCTAGTGAATATTCCAAGATCTTTTGTGGCTCGAAAGTAACAACGGTGTCTTTCGAGCCACAAAGGTAATCCTTCTAGGATTATTTTCTAGAATGATTACCTTTTTGACTTTTGAGCTCGTCGTTCTGGGGAATATTCCAAGATAATGGAAGGATTACTTTTGTGGCTTTTCAGTTCGTTCTAGAGAATATTCCAAGATAATATACATTTCATAGTAAAGAAGTTGAAGACTAGTTGGGAATGGATAAGGCAAAAAAAGGTTCAAAAGTTACAGAATAATGAACAAGTAGACAGGTATCTCATAGTTTTGTTGCTTGTTTAATAGATCAATACATTCTTCCGAATGCCCAAAAACATATTTATTTCATTCTGATTTGAAATATCTTGCATTGAGAGTTTGTTCTGAATCGGTAAGAATGCAATAAAAAAATTGGGACTGTAAAAGAAGAAGGATTTTTTGTTAGTGGTTTTAATTGAAATTGTTTTGAGATTCATAGTTATAGTAGACCTCGTTATTTTGATATTGATGAGTAAAGGCGATTTTAATGTTTGAAATGTGTGTTTCTTGGAATAGCTTCTCAGTGGAATAACGTCTGTGTTTTCTCAAAATCAAAAATAGAATTTCAAAATTCCCTTTTATAATGTAATGTTAGTTGTGAAGCACGGATAGATTGTTCTAAAAAAGATATCTTGAGGCATAGAAACTGTGAATTGGAGATTTGAAGCGTGTTTTGGCATGTGATACGTAATCTGTCCATCGTTTCCTATTTCTAGTTGAACTTCAAAGTCGAATTTCATATATGTGGATGAAGTGGATGAATGAAGATTTTTAATTGGCAAACTTAGTATATAAAATATAAGTTTTCAGGTCAATATAATGTTCTGTGAATGTGGAAATTTTCTTGTCACTCTCAACATCAAAATACGTAAGTTTTTCTCGAACAAATGAATACCCCGTATTACTTCTGTGAAATATTCAAATCAATAAGTTCAGCATTTTTCATTCAGAAAGTATCTAATTGTAAGCCGTAAGTCCAATTCACGTAAATAATTATTATTTATGGAATGAAAGAGATCGTCAAGTTTGCAATATGATTTGCCGATTTCACATTTTATCAGAACTAAAATTTGATATTGAAATTTGTGAAAGAAGCACGTGCGCTCAGTGTAAACACAAATTAAAGAAGGAAGTCAAGCGTTCAGTCATCAAAACTAATTGCTCTTTCATTAAATTCACGACTAGTTTCGGTTAGTTGTTTAGAGGGAGAGATAAAGGAATTGAAGACTGAATAAATATGTATATCAAGTTCTTCTGACAAAAATTAACAAGATAAATAAAGTTGTCACATATGCATATTATGTAAGATTTTATATTAAATGTCTTCAATTTTTTTATTAAGCTCGCCCTGTATGTTACTTAGAGACACTGACGCTTATCCATTGGTTCAAAAATGATATTTGTCATGAACTCAAAATTAGAAGTTCCAGTGCAGCACACTCTAGATATGAAAGCATGTGTTGTGACAACTGTCACATTACCTCACGTTAATTTTTTATAGATATCGCTACAGTGAGATTTTCTGTTCGTATCAACAGACCTACCTCTCTGAGAACTGATATAGGAACCTTTAAAATATGAGATACATTGTTATAAAAATAGTAATTGGAACGACATCAACTCTTTTGATCATAAAGGTGCTCAGACAGTTGACAAATATTGGTATCAATCACAGTTTTGAGATACCAAATTGCGAAGATCAGTTCAACAGCCTTAATACTCTGTCAAATTGGACATTTTCAATATTGAATCATGAGAATATACCAATGTATCAATTATTCGAAGTCAATACAGAGATATATTTGAGACGTACTGATTCTTATAACATATTAATTTGAATTCATTAAAACCCCTTCATTACATTCTCCACAAAATCTTGATATGTTCTCAACGAATTGACTGAATTGACTGTCCTTTTATTGAATCATATTGTCAACCCGAATGATTCATTCTTACTAGTTTACGGCATGCCCTTTGAGTGTGTGTACCTCTAATAACTTACAAGTACAAGCATTGCAAACATCAAAAATGGAAGCAAAATGTGGGGGTAAAAAAAACTTCTTTTACGAAAAAACGTTCATAAAAATCGACTTGATATCCCAAAGACAACGGCTATTCTTCCCTCTCTATTTCATCACAAGAAATCTCTATGTTCGCCATTCTGGGTTTCTGTTAAATCATGGAATTTCAGGATCTGCGATTTTCAGTTTGCGGAAACAGAATACCTGACGTATATCTTTCATCGAAATAAAAACAACAAACTTTTCTGCATAACCGCTGTGAGATCATTCATTGTTGTTTTGTAGACATCATTTCTTGAACAATTTAATTTTCTAGTAAACTATGTTCTATGTTCATAGCGATAACTGTTTTTAAGGCCACAATGTTCCTACTTGTGCTTGTGTTCTATGTCTGGTCAGATCTTTGCTTTTCAGCATTTTCATGGTAATAGTGTAATTATTATGTTAATGGAATGGTCACAGATCCAAAAAATCACAGATTCTTCGATAATTTTTGAATTTGCTTCTTATTCGCTTTAGGAACGATGACATTATAGAGAAACTTTGATAACACGAGGAATTCTTTGAAATTGTATTTTATCCTTGATATTCAATAAAAATCTTTCATTATAATAAAATATTTGGATACTTGAATCAAGATATCTTGTCTTGTTCACAACAATGTGATTCCAACAAATGTAATAAATGCTGTATGTAAGCGTGTGTAACTAAGTATATGCATGTAAGTATATGAGTATGATTGGTTGATGTAGACTGTAGTTCACATATGGTATGAATGAAGTGTCAGCAATGTAGAGTAAAGAAGAAGAATAATAATAGGTTAGGTATAAATAACAGTACGGGATGAAAAAATTTTTTCCGTTGTCAATGTTATGTGATCAGATGTAAGATAGCATGTATTGAAGGCAATTGAATATAGCGTGAAAAGCAAGAATCTTCATTAAATAGAAACTACCCCGATAAATAACAATGAGATCCCCAATTTTCAGGCACCAGCCAACTACCAATTCGAATACCACGTCCAAGACGCTGCATCTGGCAACGACTTTGGTCACGAAGAAGAGAGACAGGGGGATGTAGCCCAAGGAAAATACTTTGTCCTTCTTCCTGATGGTCGTGTGCAAACCGTTGAGTACACCGCTGATTCAGAAGGATACAAACCAAAAGTAACCTACGAGCAAGTAGGTGGGTACCCTTCTGGAGGACCTGGAGGATATCCTTCAGGTGGTCCATCCAACGGAGGATATCAATATTAGGTAATTGATTATGGTCAATTCTGAGAAATGCTTGGTAATTTAAGTGAATTTTGATGACCACGTTTCATGTAGGGGCTTAGTAAAAATAATGAGGTTCGTGGTGACCATTAAAGAGCTGTTGAGAAAAAAAGGTACAAACCATATGATGAATTCAATTTTGAAAGGATGGCGTTCAGAGCCACAGCAAATTTGTCTCTCACAGACGTCCAATAATTATTTTTCTGAAAGTACTGACTGGAGGAATACAAAACTACTGTTTATTCCTATATTATTTTTGAGTACGTTTTTAACATCAACAGCTTCAAAATAGCAGAATGATCATTTCAGTTACTCCATATTTCTATAAATTGACAACTTTTGTATATATTTCACTACTACTGTTACAAATGCACTTGTTTAGCCGTTACCTTCTATCTTCTTCTCAAGTAACTGGTTCATTATTTTCATATGAGCTTCTGCGATTTTTTTTAATTTTTCACATAATTACCGAGAATTTCTCATATATATGCTCATTTGGGCCAGAATAGCTTTAATATTTGTATTATATGATATTTTACGACTTATTATGGAATGACGATGAAGATTTGGAAAACGTTAATGGATAACGATTGATGGTATCGTGTAAATAGGGTATATTTGTATTGAGTGCATGCCATATTTATAATATATACGTAGTAAGTAGATAAAAGAGTATTATATTTTTATACGAGACAAAGCAATAAATATTTTTGAATAGATCATTGTTTTTTTTAACGATTCAATCCCGAAGTATTATTCTGGGATGAACTATAAATTGACAATTCTACTAATGATTTTTACCGAACACATTTGTTTATCGAAAAATAACAGCTAAGTTACATACAACATTTTTTCTGTGATGAGATTATTCGTACTTCGGTGTTGAACCCAAAACACTTGTAGGAGTACGTCAGTGGCGGCACCACGGGGGTGGCAAGAGTGGGGAGTGTGCCCCCCCGCCCTTTGCAAAATGTTGTTGTAAGCTCCCTTTCGATTTTAAATATTTCACAAATATATTGTTGGGTACATAACACGGAAAACCAATAAACGTGGCAACATTCACTTTCAATACCTCGACCTCGACCAGTTGTGAATCCCATATCGCTCGCTGTCTAATCTCGGCGTAGCACTCGTGGCAGTTCAGTTAGCAGTCTGGTTTGTTATTGTTACTTTGACGAACAAAAAGTTTGTGGATTTTATTGATTATGGAAAAAAACATAAAATTATCCGGAGCAGATTATCGAAAATTACGCAAAAAAGAAGAAGTCAAAATATGCTGCTACATCACATTCTCGAACAAAATTAAATTTTTGTAAAACTTTCAATTCGTAAGTTCTCAATTTTCAGTTGAAGATCCGAAATCGTATTCATTATGGAAACTTATACATTTACAGAGAAACAAAAGAACAATTAATTCAAACTCAAAGTTGTGTAAAGGAATCGGTGCCAAATAAACCTGACACTACCGAGAGTACGGTCAGTACGGAGTCAACATTTCTTGATGTTCCATCTACATCAACCGATATAGTAAAAACAAAATCCGATTTTTCATTAGGTTCTGCTGATTTAACATTGTTGGTGGTCTTTCAGGTCAGTTGATAAGAGTACGGCTCTGACGAACTCTAAGAACGTGATTCTAAAAATGTGCTCTGCTGTGTCATCATTTTCAAAATAGATGCAACACACAGTCTTCCGACAGTCCGAGTCTCTGCATAAGATGCTTAAAATGTCAGTGACCTGTAAGAAGGCCTGTTAGACATCGTAGTTCATCCATACTGTAGTGTCCAACAACGTTTGGTATCAAGCTTCGAAGGGTGAATAAACGCATTAGAGTGAGCCAATCCTGGAAGACTCAGCCAGAAGTCCATAAATCTTCTTGCCATCCAGGTTTTCAATGTTTGTTTGGCAAAGCGATGCCAATGACAGGTTCTGATCTGATGAAGCTGCTTGCAGCACCCTCCTTTGCAAGAGAGTCAGCAGTCTAATTGCCTAGGTCAGTATGGCCAGGAATCCAGACCAGATACAATCTGTTAGGTCTTCCTATCGAGGAGAGTCGTTTTTGGCAATTTGCTACCAATTTAGACGTTGCGCCGTTTGACTGTCCGAGATTTTTTTTTCACTTGTGTATAAAGTTAGATTCTTCCAATCTACCCACACACAAATTTCCGCTTGAAATACAGTTGCGAAGGTTCCTAGGCAGGTCGATATCTCTGTCCTGGGTCTGCGACTGAAAACACCTGCACCAGAACCGAAAGGTGTGTTTGATCCATCTGTGAACCAACAACTATCTGATTTTGATATTTCCTTCTCACGAAGGATGCAGTCCTCTCTACTCGGGAACAGTACTTATTACTGTACTTATTAGCAGCCAACAGAAAACTATAGGACGCCAATAATCAGAATACAAATACAATCTCGGAAAGGAGCGGGAGAGAGATGAAAAAGATATAATTATTTGATTTAACAAAAGAACAATTAATTCAAACTCAAAGTTGTGTAAAGGAATCGGTGCCAAATAAACCTGACACTACCGAGAGTACGGTCAGTACGGAGTCAAAATTTCTTGATGTTCCATCTACATCAACCGGTATAGTAAAAACAAAATCCGATTTTTCATTAGGTTCTGCTGACTTAACATTGTTGGTGGTCTTTCAGGTCAGTTGGTAAGAGTACGGCTCTGACGAACTCTAAAAACGTGATTCTAAAAATGTGCTCTGCTGTTTCATCATTTTCAAAATAGATGCAACACACAGTCTTCCGACAGTCCAAGTCTCTGCATAAGATGATTAAAATGACTGTAAGAAGGCCTGTTAGACATCGTAGTTCATCCATACTGTAGTGTCCAACAACTGTTTGGTATCAAGCTTCGAAGGGTGAATAAACGCATTAGAGTGAGCCAATCCTGGAAGACTCAGCCAGAAATCCATAAATCTTCTTGCCATCCAGGTTTTCAATGTTTGTTTGGCAAAGCGATGCCAATGGCAGGTTCTGATCTGATGAAGCTGCTTGCAGCACCCTCCTTTGCAAGGGAGTCAGCAGTCTCATTGCCTTACAGGTCAGTATGGCCAGGAATCCAGACCAGATACAATCTGCTAGGTCTTCCTATCGAGGAGAGTCGTTTTTGGCAATTTGCTACCAATTTAGACGTTGCGGTAGAAGCCAACGCCGTTTGACTGTCCGAGATTTTTTTTCACTTGTGTATAAAGTTAGATTCTTCCAATCTACCCACACACAAATTTCTGCTTGAAATACAGTTGCGAAGGTTCCTAGGCAGGTCGATATCTCTGTCCTGGGTCTGCGACTGAAAACACCTGCACCAGAACCGGAAGGTGTGTTTGATCCATCTGTGAACCAACAACTATCTGATTTTAATATTTCCTTCTCACGAAGGATGCAGTCCTCTCTACTCGGGAACAGTACTTATACCGTACTTATTACCAGCCAACAGAAAACTATAGGACGCCAATAATCAGAATACAATTACAATCTCAGAAAGGAGCGGCAGAGAGATGAAAAAGATATAATTATTTGATTTCTGTATGAAAGAGAAAATATTCCTGAAAATGCAATTTACCTGTATTGACAAAAAGTTGAGAAATATTTGACCAATTGGACAATGGAAATTCAGTCAAATCATTCAGTGTTATATTATTTAAGAAAATGTTCAGCTCTTTGATTGGAATCCAATCAAACTCAATATCTTCACATGGAAACCATTTGATATCCAGTCATATTCGAAAATATATAAATGTAACGTAAGTGTATCTCAAAAAAAAATTATTAGCCATGAAATTAGTCAGAATTTTATTTCAAATAATTGACGTGTATGAAGTATGTATGTATGTTAAAAATGCCTTATTAGTATATTCTAATGAAGATCTCTGAATATAATAATATAATGAAAAAAATGACATAACATATCGGATATTATAGAAATAATAAGGAAAGTGAAAATATTGATATGACTTGAATCTTCCTCAGAAACAGTACATCCCTATTTATTGCCACTTGAGAGCCAAATCAGAAAACAAGTCAGTTAACTTACTTGTTTTCCATCAATTCCTTACATATTGTTTGATGCCCTTCCACATTTTTTTATTTCTAAACTTTCGAAGGCATCTAATAGCCTGTTGTCATGTGTCGGTTTCAGAAATTTCAAAGATTTTTCACTTATTCTGTGGCCAATCTCTAAGATATGCTAAGCGACACTAGACTTCTCAGGTCTACGAAATCGGATATATGTGTTACCTCTGCTCAACTGTGAGAACTACAAAAAACGCGAGTCAAACCAAGCGGACTGTAACGACGCGTTTCAAACGCGTTTCAAAGAAAATCTTTCACATATTCCATATCGTAAATCAAAGAATCTATCAATGAAATCCCATTCCAAATCCTTTTTACATTAGGTAATACTATTAGGTTGTTTCGAAAGTTTTCTCCGTTTTAAATGTCTACTTTCCACTGTAATATCTCAGTGAATACTCACTCAATTTAATAAATATAGTTTAAAAAAACTAAAAAACACGCTTTTAAAGAACATCGACTTAAAAAGTTGAAGATATTTTTTTCAAATAAGCTTAAAACGATAACGAACGAAAAATACTAGTATCTATTATTGTGAAAAAAGCGATAGGCGCTTGATGTACAAAAATATGACAAAAAGCGCCCACGCTATCTACCTTACTCAGGTTTGTCTTTCAAGGACAGTCGAGTCCAGCAATAATAATATTGATAATAATAATTTTAGTAGTCTCAAGAAACACACAGATCTTAGACACGACAATACAATTTCTAAAATAGGTTTTGGAAGATAAGATTCGTCAATATAGTATCTAAAAAATGCTTGTAGATAAATTAGATTTACAAAAAAATACAAGTTAACATAATGAAATTCCAATCTTATAAAAATTGACTAATATTGACAGATAGCTACCATATATTTATTCAAAGTTGAGTAAAAGTTCGGGAGGTGACCACGAAAGTGTCTCTTCTTGAATAACTTCGAAAAATTGATCAATTTCTTATAAAGGATGTTTGGTTAATATTTTCTTCAATAAGTTTTTGAATCTTCTAAATGGCAAGTTACGAAATTCGACAGATAAGGCATTGTATAGCTTGATTCCTATACAGCGTGACTCACGGTCGATGGTAGGTTAGACGTTTCTGGAAAACACAAAGCATGATTTTTCTGAAAATTTCACCTCTCACATTTCCTGCTTTATGCTTCAAGGTGATATATCATGTCCTCATACCTAAATCATAATCGTAAAAAGTAATTTACAAAGAGTTATTGACGGTGTTTCGAATCATCTTCCAAAATGAATGCAAATATTGATTATTCAAACGAAGTTCCTATGAAATTATTTATTATACACATGAACAAAGTGATCAAATCATTGTCAGAACGTGTAAAAAATTCAACCAAATGTATCCTGAATTAACACCAATGAACGAGAGAAAGTTTGTAAGGTTACAAAATAATTTCCTTAACTTTGGCTCAAAGTTTCCAGGGAACAACTGTACCAAAAATCAATCATTTCTAGGTAAAAAGTAAGATTTTGTGGGCTAAAACATGTGAAAGTACAGACAATAACAGAATAGGATGATTCAAAATAACAAAATTGTAAACAAAATATCACATTTTCACAATAAATGCTGAAAATGTTGTCCATTACGTTCTAAACACTTTAAAATATTTTTTTGTGCGCGATTTGTGGTTGCTTTTTCAATTTCCTGGGGATCCAAATCTTCAATACTCCGCACTATTCGCCGTCGCAATTCTTCTTTTGTAGGCACTGGAGTACTGTATACCCTTTCTTTTAAAACACCCCATAAAAAAATTGAAGTGGCGTCAGATCGGGTGATCTCGGTGCCCAATCCCACGGCCCTAAACGCCTCCAACGATCGTCGAAGAGTTCGTCAAGTTTTCTGGAAACTTCCTGGATGGAATGAGCTGACGCTCCGTCCAGTTGAAACCACGAATTCCTATATTCCTCTAAAGGCAAATTTTCAAGCTAATCAGTTACAGTCGTCCTTAATATTTGGAGATATCTCTCTGCATTCAGTGTGTCTTCATAAATAAAAAAGCTAATTTTATTGTTCTTCAGAATACAGAAAACATTCAGGTAAAATTTTTCTTAAAAAACCATTTCTTTTGTAACATGAGGATTATGATCAGCCCAAAAATGTTTATTCCTTCTGTTGAAAATACCATCCCTCGTAAATTTTGATTCGTCGCTCCAAATTAATTTTGACAAAAATTCCCGATCTTCCTTTGTATGAATCAAAAGGGATTCACAAAAATGCATTCTACGTTCGAAGTCTTCTGCTTTTAGAACTTGAATTTTGGTAAATTTATACGGATGCATTCCGTGATTTTTCAAAATTCGTTGTAGAACAGGTAAGGAAATGTGAGAGGTGAAATTTTCAGAAAAATCATGCTCTGTTCTTTTCATCCTATTAGCTGTAGGAAAAGGTTTGATTTATTTCTTGTATCATGTTGGTGTATATCCTTGTGAGCAACTTTATTCGAATTTTGTTGAACAAGAAGCAGATTTGCATAGACAATAACTGAATATAGGGTCATTATTTTAAGTTTTACAAATATTAGTCAACACTTTCCATCATAATTGGCAGAGACTATGCTTCTTACTGCAGATTTTTGAATCACAAACATTCTATTAAGATGCATTATTCCACTTGATTATACCATACCTAAGGACTGAATGAAAAAGTGAATGATATGTTGCAACTGCCGCACTTTGATTTACTATTTTTTTGATTCTTCTGATAGCAAAAACTGTCTTATTAAGTTTACTACATGATATTTATATGGTCTATCAATTTCAGGTTGGAATCTATTTGTACTCCCAAAAATTTGGTAGAATTTTTGTTACCTCGATTTAAGCAAATTGTTTCAAAAGTTAGAGTTTCTGTTTTTTGTTCATTGAGAACATGATCGAGCTTTCTCTAATATGTCAGTATGGATCATATGAGGATCATCTATTTTATATATTTGTTTTGCCCAAGTAATTGCTAGGACTTTTTGATAGAAGTGGTAACGCCGCAATGCAGAAAATATTTTAGATCGATGGAACAGGTAAGGAAATGTGAGAGGTGAAATTTTCAGAAAAATCATGCTTTGCGTTTTCCAGAAACGTCTAACCTACCATGGACCGTGAGTCACGCTGTATTTATTATCTGTTCTTTTCATCCTATTAGCTATAGGAACAAAGTTTGATTTATTTCTTGTATCATGTTGGTGTATATCCTTGTGAGCAACTTTATTCATCGAATTTTGTTGAACAAGAAGCAGATTTTCATAGACAATAACTGAATATAGGGTCATTATTTCAAGTTTTACAAATATTAGTCAACACTTTCCATCATAATTGGCAGATATTATGCTTCTTACTGCAGATTTTTGAATCAGAAATATTCTATTAAGATGCATTATTCCACTTGATTATACCATAAGGACTGAATGAAAAAGTGAATGATATGTTGCAAGTGCCGCACTTTGATTTACTATTTTTTTGATTCTTCTGATAGCAAAAACTGTCTTACTAAGTTTACTACACATGCTATTTATATGGTCTATCAATTTCAGGTTGTAATCTATTTGTACTCCCAAAAATTTGCTAGAATTTTTGTTACCTCGATTTAAGCAAATTGTTTCAAAAGTTAGAGTTTCTGTTTTTTGTTCATTGAGAATCAAGTCATTTGGTGTTAACCATGAACGAGCTTTCTCTAATATGTCAGTATGGATCATATGTGGCACTCCTCTTAATATTATTCTTCTTTCACTTTTGGTATTTCCTAGATCAACAATTTGATATCTTTCGTTAAGCAATGCATTTGTGGTTCAGCTTAGCACCACTGATGAGATCTATGGCGGGTCGAAACAGCGTTGTCTGGTATTGAATCATGAAATCATTATGCTTGGGTTTTGCTTTTCAACTAGCTGCCATGCAGTGAAAGTTAAAGGATGAATCTCGTTCGGAGATTCATGGAGCTATATCAGGTATTTAGGTATTCTCTTGCTACGAGTTGCACGTCAAAAGGTAAGACCGCGGTAATCCTTAGCTCGCACAAGTTTTGACTTTTGAGAGTTGTTAATTGTAGGGGACAACAGCTGGTTAACAGAACAATAGATTTTTGAAAGATTTCTGTTTTTTTCTTTTGAGATCATTGCTTCAGCAGAGATTCGAATTGTCTTACAAGTTTATGATTCCTTTCAACTTCTTGAGGAACATACCTGTGAATCATGGAAGTTTATATCTGATCATGTTTCAATTAATATAATGCTTTACCATCTCTGCATACATCACCCGACTGTAGGCACCATTGAATCTTCTATAGGAAGCCATATTGAAAAAACTGCTCTATTAAATTAGTAAGTATTTATTTACATCTTTTTAAACAAAAAATATACATTTACAACCACAAAAGCTCACAATCATCAAGATAATTCGAAAAAAGTCACGAGTAATCAACAGTGGACAAATTTTACAATCAAGTTAGGAAAAAAAGGGAGCACATCCAAGTTTTTGAGTGCAAAAATAAGTTTCGTTTCAAATAAGAATTATTCTAGGATATCAGCAATATGACTAAAGTGATTCTCACGAGAAAAATGGTTGAATAAAAACACCCTATGAAGTATACAAAACATTACCTGCTATATGCTTATTCTAGCATTCAGCATGCTCTGTCAAAATGTTACTGTGTCGAAATTTTACTGATTCTTGCATAGAATAAGTGAATCTACTATATAAAAATGGATGTTTGTTGGTTGGTAAGTGATAAACTTCTACATGGCTCAACCGATCGTGATGAAACTTGACATGTATAAGTAATTTTTCATAGAGGTTTTCAGGCTATCAATTTTTCTGTAACTTGCCACTAGATGGCGCTGTAGAACAATTTTTTGAAAGCACTGTTCTATAACGCTTCGCACGCCTAAGTTCTTCGACTCTGATTATGTCAAAACATTGGAACAGCAGCGATTCAGCAACATAGTACTAGTCATACTATAAAAGTTCGTGGGTTAACACATAGATGGCGCTACTAGTGTTGAATCCACTATTAGTATGTGGGATAGAACATTTTGAGTGAAGCAACTTCTGTTAGTTTAAAGAAAATGAATAAAAAGGAATTTCGTGTGTTTCTGTAGAACAATTTTTTTGGAAGCACTATTCTATAACGTTGCGCACGCCTAAGTTCCTTGATTCTGATTCTGTCAAAACATTGAAACAACAGCGATACAGCAACATAGTACTAGTCATACTATAAAAGTTCGTGGGTTAACACATAGATGGCGCTACCAGTGTTGAATCCACTAGTAGTATGTGGGATAGAACATTTTGAGTGAAGCAACTTCTGTTAGTTTGAAGAAAATGAATAAAAAGGAATTTCGTGTGTTGATAAAGCATCGCTTTTTTAATGCAGTACTTTAGTACTGTTGAAACCAAGGCTTGGCTTGATGAACATTATTCGAACTTTGCACCAAAAAATCAACCCCTCAGAAGTGGTTTGCTAAATTTAAACGAGGTGAAATGAGCACCCAGGACGATACATGCAGTGGACGTCCCAAAGAGGCTGTTACCGATTTAAACATCAAAAAAGTTCACAGAATGAATTTGGATGACCGCAAAGTGAAGTTGTTCGAGTAGCTGCGGCTCTAAAGATATCGAAGGAATGTGTTGGACACATCACGCTTGAATATTTGGGTATGCAAAAGCTCTGGTGGAGCCGCAAGAGCTCACAATCGACCAAAAACAACAACGAATTGATGATTCTGAGTATATGTAACAATGAATGAAACATGACTCCATAATTTCACACCAGAAGCAAAACGATCGCCATTCGAGTGGACTGCACATGGTGAACTGACTCCAAAGCGTGTAAAGACGCAACAGTCTGCTAGTAAGGTTATGGTGTTAGTATTTTGAGATTCGCATGGTATTACATTCATCAACCATCTTGAAAAGGAAAAAACCATCAACAGCGACTATTACGAAAGTATTGTTTCATCAAGACACTTGCACCGTGTGACAAATCAATGAAAACAATTACAACCATCGTATTCTCTGGATCTGGCTCCGTGACTTTTTTCTATTCTCCGACCTCAAGAGAATGCCCGCTGAAAAGACATTTAGCGCCGATGGAAAGGTGATCATCGAAACTCAGGCCTATTTTGCAAAACGTTTCAAAACTGTTCACAGCTGAAATGTCAAATACCAATACAGGGTGGGGCACCGAAAACGAAACAGATCGAATATCTTCAAAACACAATTATTCTGAAAAAATGCAAAAACACGTCGATTTTTAATCCAAGTGGGACATCTTCCTATCATAACCTCAACTGTTATACAGAACGTTTTTTTTTTACCGCAAGAAGGCGCCAAAATCTAAAGTTAGGTATCTAAAATTGACATGGCTGAATTCCTTGTGAAATTATCTTTTCAACGATGTGTCACACTTACTACTTTCCCTATTCAAATTGTTTGGTTGATAGTCACCGAGGGGTGGGGTAGAGGTATGACAGTTGAGGTTATGATAGGAAGATCTCCCCCTTGGATTACAAATTGACGTGTTTTCACATTTTTTTCAGAATACATGTGTTTTGAAGATATTCGATCTGTTTCGTTTTCTGTGCCCCATCCTGTATGAATGACATTTAAGAAAAAATTAATTGAGCAAATCGTATGCATGAAGCAGAAAAATTTCGACTGTAACATATCAGCAAATGAGAAAAAATCACTAGTTTGAGACGCATTCAAAGCAGTGGACAAGATATATCTGAATGTTCTACAAAACATTGTCGATATTTAATTTAGTAGCGGTTCTAAATTTTGTGTTAATTAATGTAATGTAAAATTGTTGGTTAACAGTGATTACAAAATAAGACGTATAAGTACAACCCTTTCTAATGAACTTCCTGGTACGCCAAGCAGATCTTGAATTTTGTTGCTTCAATAATCACCCGAACAACCTAATGAATATCTATATAAAACACAAACACTGCTCACACACCTCTTGAAAAAACCAAGTTGCCATCATCAGAATAATGAATTATTTTAATTTGTTAAATCTAATTCAGCTCATTTATATCTAACAAGATGAACTCCCACTATCATTTTTAGACAAACATCAATGATTTTTTTAGCAAACATTAGGGAAAACGTCTTGGAAAAGTCCCTGCTAATTTGAAGTGAGTAAGTAGTTCATAAAAAGTAAGTTGTTCACAATTCTGGTACTTTCAAACTTTGAAAGGCGTCGAAAAGTCTAGTGTCATGTATCATCCTCAACGATTTTTAACAATAGTTTTTATTTTCATGATCTATTGAAGTAGTGTACTGCATCGATTAGGAAGAACTCCACATTTTTCATTTGAATAGATCCTTGAATACTTCAGAATGTGTTTATAACTGAAGAATGAAATTTTTTGGGAACTTTTATCGTCTGTCCACACTTCAATAGCACGGAAGACGTCGCAAATATTGACTAATTTTTTATATAATCCTGAAATGACAGATAAATGATAGATTATTATGTGATGAATAATATGACGAGAAATATCGAAATTTATCAAAAGAGCAATTTCATGACTGATAAAATGACTTACTTGAAATTTTTTTTTTTATCCGATTATTTCAGCTTCTATAATATAGTGACGAGTTTTTTAACATGCAATCTATAAAGCATGTTCACGAGACACTAGACTCTTCCAGTCTACAAAATCAAATGAACGCCCTGTGTTCTGTGTAACGAATTTTGAAATCGTTCCCAGTCTGACCACCATACCATGTGCTGTTTGATATTAGTCTCAATAAGTTATCTAGTCTGACCAACATACACCAATCGTATAATACTGACCAACATACTCTTTTACAAAACACATCATGTGTTCTTTGACACGAGTTTCAGTAACTTGTCTTGTCTGACCAACGTACTACAATCAAGACCATTTTGGAGAACATTATGGGAGTTCATCTGGTTAGATATTAATAAGCAAATTTAAATTTGAGGATTTAATATAGTTCATAATAAATGGTGCAACATACGTCGAAAAAGGTGCTGCCGTTCCGGACTGTGGAAGAGGTTTTTGTGTTTGATTCAATCTAGGCTAGAGGTTTCAGTTCTCTCTTTCAGAATAGTTCTATCTACAAAAAGTGACAACAAAATAACCCTCAAATTTAACAATGAACTAATTGGAAAGTGATTTCCCCTCAGAAGAAAAACGAATTCTTACAATAGCCAACTGAAACATATTGCACTACTAGAGCGGAGGGCATTATTTTACAGCCAAAGTGTGATTATTTTGGTTTATAATTAATATGTACAAAGCAGCATGGCAATCAAAAGATAATAAATAGTTACATCATAATTACAAGCATAAATAAATACTATTTACAATTTCAACAAATGAAACATTTTACATTTTCACTGGAGTTGCAGCTTGCTCTCCTTATAAAATTGTAGTGATGAAACAAATTGATAATTATGTCTTTCTAGATTAGAAAAAACCTAACGAAAATTTCTGTCAATTGAGTGAAAAAACTTATTACCTGATATTCCAATTACTTGTAAAAATAATATATTTATAACACTAGACAATATCTTCACGACCAAACATCACTACTACTGGTAAAGTTCAAAGAAAATATCACAAAAAGCACCATCAACATTTTTTATCCAGGGTATCTAGACTACCGATTTCTGAAAAATTATAAATACTCCATTTTTCATCTAGTTCTTCGATGGAAGGAAGTAAATAATTAGGATATAACACAGTTGCTATCCTTTGCTGGCAGCTCTATGTGGGAAACATCCTGCTCAATAATTTCATCATCCTCGATTCTGAAAACAATAATAATAATAATAATATTGAAAAGTACAATTGTGCAAATAAATNGTCATAAGAGCTTCTTCTTCTTCTCCATTACTATTCCTCGATTCCATCACGGCTCTGAGTTGCTTCTCAAGAATGGCTGCTTGTTCGTCTATCGCACGCTGCTCCCTCTCAAGGTCCTCGTTTTCTTTGTCTATCCACGAGTGTACGTCCTGGACATCTATTCCCATCTAAAAAATGGCACAATTAGGACAATAGCGTGCAATAGCGAAACAGGTGTTTTGCTTAACAATATCTATTGTATAGCAAAACACGTGTTGCGTTTTGTGAGCTGTTCAGTGGACTGTATTCAAGAAATACTTCACTTTGAGATTCTCATTAAACGGTTTCACAAAAATTCAGCACGTGTTTCACTATACTATAGCTTCTTCAGGCGTATCTATAGCGTATATACATTCCTGAAGAAGCTATTGTATAACGAAGCTTGTGTTGTAAACTGTTCAGTGGACTGTATTCAAGAAACACTTCAATTTGAGATTTTCATTGAACGGTTTCACAAACACTTAGCACGTGTTTCACTATACTATAGCTTCTTCAGGCGTATCTATAGCGTATATACACGTCTGAAGAAGCTATTGTATAACGAAGCACGTGTTGTGTTTTTGTGAACTGTTCATTGGAATATATTTAAGAAACTCTTTATTGTCAGATTTTTACGTCGCTATACAATAGCTACTTCAGAAGTGTCCATACTATAGACACGCCTGAAGAAGCTATTGTGTAGGGAAACACGTGTTACGTTTACAAAAACGTGTCTATACTATAGACACGCCTGAAGAAGCTATTGTATAGAGAAACACGTGTTGCGTTTCTGTAAACTGTTTAGTGGAATATATTCAATAAACACTTTGTCAGATTTTCACGTCGCTATACAATAGCTTCTTTAGACGTGTCCATACTCTAGACACGCCTGAAGAAGCTATTGTATAGAGAAACACGTGTTGCGTTTTTGATAAACAGTTTAGTGGAATATATTCAAAAAACACTTTGTCAGATTTTCACGTCGCTATACAATAGCTTCTTTAGACGTGTCCATACTCAAGACACGCCTGAAGAAGCTATTGTATAGAGAAACACGTGTTGCGTTTTTGTAAACTGTTTAGTGGAATATATTCAAGAAACACTTTATAGTCAGATTTTCACTAAACATTTTTACAACAATGCAACACGTGTTTCGCTATACAATAGCTTCTTCAAGTGTGTCTATATGCCTGAAGTGAAAATCTCACATTAAAGTGTTTCTCGAATATGTAACAAAATCTTATCAAAATACGAGATGCTGAAAACACATCAAATTGAACAAATTCGTAGGTATCCTAAAAGGTGAGAAAACCTTGCCCAAGTGTACATTAGAATTAATTCAATATCCGTCATTACATTAGCTAAGGAATTAGTTGTTTGAGATAGACACATGGCTTTGGCATGGATAGACTTTTGAGTTGTCTGAATGCTACGATTATTATCAAGTACGGTTGACTCATATGACCAGTGATTATGGCTGATGTCTTCAAAAAATGTAGTAAATGAGATTTTTGCAGTGGAGTATGTAAAAACAATTAAATTCACATAGAAAACAAAAGACATACCTCTCGCAACCCTAAATCTTCCGGTAGTCTATCGGGAGTAATTTTTTCTCTATTATTTTCATGGGGACTAGATTTAACAGAGAGCTCTTCAACAATCTGCAAGTTATTCGAGTACACGTTTCCGTTCTTCTCAGAATCTGAAAAAAAAACAGCTTTTTGATTATAAGGAGTATTAATATCAACTTTCAATTACCTAAAATGTTTTGCCGTTCCATGTTTTGGATCTCATTATCTAAAAACCTCAGCTTATCCTCGGCTTCCATGTAAGCCTTCACCGATTCTGGACTAACCCTGATAATCTCTGTGTTAGTTCCTGAGCCTCTACGCGCGTCAGCAAGCATCTTCCTTGCTCTTTCACGAAGAAGAGCTTGCCTTTCTTCTTCTGACTGAAGAAAAATCAATCTTTGATTAATATGATAGAACTGACCAGATACTTAATGAAAATCCATCACAACTTATTCAAAAAACACGCTTTAATGTTAGATTTCTACTTGAAACTTCACAAAAAAACAACACTTTTTAATTTTGATTTTTTTNAACTTTCTTTCCCAAAAATTAATCACTCCTAAAAATATAACCCCTTCAATTCAAATTATCATTATCGTTTCATGACAAAAGGTTTTAAAAAACAGTGTGAAATATCGGGAGGCTTTTCCGGCTGTATATAAGGAAAAAACTATAAAAACGAAATATTTGCCATGCAATACATACCTTCGAAGGAGAAGTTGGGTTGGAACTATCTTTTCTTGTCTGTTCCAATAACACTCTGGCTCTTTCTCTCTGTTCCGAATGTCTCATGAGTATTTGCTGCACACGTGTCAAAAAATTTTTAATTGCTTGCCAAACCTTTATATCAAATTATTAGTTGTAGTTTATTGGTTAGTTTGAAAAGTTGCCCAAACGTGTCTATACCTACCCTATATATTCAGAAAGGGAAATGATGGAAAAATTTTCAAAATTAGACTAAGCAATCGAAGACGCCATCTTATTGGATCGATAGAAGACTCAATCCCCGAATATCAAATATGAACGAGATTCGTCTTCTGTCTCTCATTGAAGCTTCCACTGCAAAGAACTAGATGGAAGCAGAGCCCAAAAGCTTAGGCAAAAGATTTAATTGTGGGACTAGGCTGGACCACTCAACTGTCCTCAAAGAAGAAACCTAAAAGTCAAGACAAAAAAAAATCTCGTTCGATGGGCGATGTGGAAGCTGGGCTTTGCATCTGACTACCTTGGGAAGTCTCGTTTATCCATGATATCTGTGGATTGAGTTCTCTGTCAATCCCATAGATGACGTAAGAGAAGATGTCATCACCTTTACTTTTACGCTTCTCTTTCAAGGACAATTAAGCAGTCTGGCGTTGGATCAAAAGCTCTCAGGCTCTGGTTTCATCTAACTTCCAGTTTGTTAGTGAAGGGGAAAACCCCCTCTAAAATAGTTGAAGATGTTATTGTGGTTTTTAGGTCAATTCATGTCTCTCCTACAAGCTTGATATGCTTGTAGATTTTTGTAAAAAGCTCTTTCTCCAACACTTACACCTTGAGGTATGTTTTCGATAGCTCACCCTGTATATACAATTTTCCAATATTGCATAGAAGGGTCACAAATTACTTTAAAAACAAAATCACAAAATTCTGGCTCTGCAATTAAATCCTTGTTGGAATTTAATAAAATTCACAANCCATAATTTTTTTTAGTTTTGCTTATATGCGCACTCAGTATTTTTGACCATTTAATAAATTTTGTTGTAAGTTACATTCGTTTAATAATCACCCGTCAACTTTTTTTTCCCTAAAGCGATCTAAAAAAAAAGTATTGCCATTTTCAAAAATATCCCTAGACTTTTCCGATGTGTGTACAATGATAAGTATTCCGAAAAAACATAAATAAATACTGGAGGTTAAGTTCTGGGACCACTTTAATGAATGACATTGATGCAACGGTGAAAAAATGTAAAATAACACTTGCTTAAAAAAAAGGTGAATAAATACCGAAAGTTAAATATTGTTTTAAAGTATTTCTGAGTCCTGATTCATTCTGTACAGAATAACCATGATTGAATATTAATGGGAATGTAGGTTTAAATTGAAATTATTGTATCATATGAAATATCATTTAACCTTTTTCTATATAGAATTTGACATCACATATTATAGTTTAGCGGATGTAAACATACAGTGAATACTGCTTATATTCGGCAATAACTAATGAAAGATTCGAGATTTTATGCCTGGATTACGTGACTGCAAAAGATATATCGAAGTAGTGTAGTTTTGAAAAAAAAAATATTACTGGTTCCTCAGCATTGAAAACTCATCTCTGATCCCTTTGAATTGAAAAATTTAAATTCCTGGCTTTCTATCTATATCATTCTGATATACAGAATGATATATTGTAATTATAATAATCATTGTAATATTCAGAAACTAACCTTACTCATTATACTTTTCGAACTGTTGAGGATGATGTCCTTCACATCCTTCACGATTGTGGGTGACTTTTCCTTTTCCTTCACCGGCTCAGGTTCGTTCAATATCTTCAACGGCAGCCTGAGTTTCGAAGCGTCACCCTTATGGTTATTCACCAAATTCATCTCCAAATCTTTCTGATTGTCCTGCTTCTTGTTCTGCTTGGCTTTCCGCAAGTTGATGATTTCCTGACCGAAAACTTGTTTAGTGATATCCGTGTCTTTATCGGTGTTGAATTTTCCTATAACATAATTGCTTTCTTCGACCGTTTTACCGATTTGCTGCACTTCCAATTGGTGGCCTGTGAAGCGGGCTCTGAGCTGATGGAGGTACGTTATTACTGCTAGCTTGTCAGGAACTGAAATGATTATCTGGTATAATTTATGTCAGAAAACCGACCAGCTTCTCACCTGCTAGCATATGCATATCAGAAGGTTCTATCACCTTTGGAATGCCAAGTTTGTCTCCGGCATCAAATGCCTTCTTACAATTTCCTTTAACGTCGTGTGGCGATAAGGAATCAAAGTCTCTGAAAATAGAAACCTGCACTGTAATTGTGAGAATTTACATCACATTTATTATTACAGAAAAAGGTGTTCATCTCAAAAACTCATTCTCAAAGTCACACATTAAAATTTTCCCTAGGTAGTCTTTGTTCTCGAAAGGGACTGAAAATACTTTATACTGCTAATCCTTGTGAAGAAAAATTTTTTTCAACAATTTCTTTTATAAATATTGAAAACGGTTTTAACCAAAAAAAAAAACGTCGAATGAGCAATACTAAGAAATTGTTGAATGACTTCAACGGAGATCCAGATTTGCTTAAAAGGGTTATAACTGGTATCGAATCAATGTATATAGTTATGCATTGCTTGTTCGTAATTTCAAAAACAACACCGAAATCATGCCACAGCCACCGTATTCACCAGATTTTCTCCACTGCACTTTCTCCTGTTCCCAAGATTGAAGAGACCCATAAGAGGACGGCGTCTTGCGACTATTAAGTAAATGAAAACTGAATCGTTGAAAGAGCTCAATGGACTATTCCATTATTACGTAAGCACTATTGGGGTGGTCTTTGCTTTGCTTATTTTTGATGACATGTGGCCGGAGGGGTCTAGATGGTGAGAACGTCAGCAGGAGTTATTTACTTTTTTACACATATAGCAACCCACATATGCATAACTGTCTTTTTGGATTTGGCCAAGGCAATTGATACTGTGGATCATAATATACTCCTTCAACATTTAGCTAACATTGGTGTGAGGGGTGTTGCTTTGAAAATAGAGGACTATTCGACAAATAGAACACAGTTTGTCAAAGTAAATTACTCTCTCAGCAATCCACTAAAAATGACTCAGGGTGTACCCCAAGGAACTGTATTAGGACCCATCTTATTTCTAATATATATGAACATCTTCAAAATTTCTGATTTTTAGTTAATAGCTCCTTAATTTGTTTTTTAAATGGTATAATATGCAAATCTTTAATATCTTAAGGCAACGTATTGAATAATATTTATTATGTTATTATATGCAAGTGATTCCTTGAATGTCGATGTTTTATGTTTTGGGAAAGTTAATAAATGTCTATTTCGTGTTGCATAGTTATGAACTATTGATTCATCTCTCAGATTGGGTACACTATTTTTCACATGAAGCAGAGCTTTATATATATAGATACAAGGTAACGTTAGCATCTTGTTCTTGCAAAAAGCAGGTCTACAGCTATCCCTGGGTGCAATATTAAAGATAGTTCTAATTATTCTTTTTTGAACAATAAAAACACGTTTTGCCTCCACAGAAAAACCCCATATTAATACATTTTTTGCCATATGTGAGTACGCCAATGAATAGTAAACAATCCTGATACCATCTAAACTAAGCACGTCTTTGATCTGTCTTATTGCAAATAACGCTTGATTCAATTTTTTGTAGACATGATCGATATGGGGCTCTCAAGACAAGATTTTTTCTATAAAAATACCAAGGAGTTTGGCTGTTTCCGAGAGTTGGATGTTGTTGAGTTTCACTGTTTTCCTTAACGCGAAGCTTAAATGTAGTTTTACTTTAATTCAATTTTAGTTGATTTCTATCACACTAAGAAATCATGTCATCCATCACTGAATTAATGTTGTTTTCTAGCTCCTCCACAGTATTTCCAGAAGTTGTTATGGTAGTGTCATCTGCGAATAGGATAATAAAACCTTGTTTTATATACTTCGGAAGATCATTTATATAGAGAAAAGCAGTGGGCCTAAAATGGACCCCTGTGGTACCCCAAGGATAATATCTTGAATAACAGATACTGCATTATTCACAGTTGCTACCATTTTCCTATCTTCCATAAAAGATTTTATCCATTCCAGAAGGAACCCTCTAATGCCAATGTTATATAACTTACTAACCATTATGTCACTATTTACTGAAAATACCTAGAGGTATTGGTGGACCAATCTCTTCGGTGGAATGCACACATTGATTATACAGTAACTAGAGTATGTAAATTAATATATAAATTTCATCAGCTCAGGAATATACTGAACAGGAAAATGATACTGATGGTGTATGATGCCTTGGCTAACTCCATAATACGTTACTGTATAATAGTATGGGGTGGTACCTTCAAGACATCGCTAATTAACTTNACAAAAATGGTTTTGTTTAAACAAAACCGTACACATTCCTAGAGAAGATCTAACACAAAGAAGAGTACCTGATGCAGTACAAATACAGGCAAATTTACCTGAAATACCTAAGTTGAGACGTTCTGACCGTATAAAGAGGCAGACGACAGGATGACAAGTTCACTTTGAGGAGTGCCTAGAAGATGACAGTACGACCAGCTGTCGAAAGCGCTCGCAGATAATAAATAGAAGATATATATATATAGATATTTGATATTTGCATACTTGATACTACTGAAATATAAATATAATCACTCACATGAGATCAGGTTCGAAATGATGAATCAGAGCACAGAAAGCCATACCATTCCTCCAGCTCGTAGTCAAGTTAGTTACCTTCACTCCGGGATATGATTTCGTCATGTCCTTGCACCATTCCAACAAATCTTGTCCTGAAATAGATGACACGTTTAGTACAACAAAAAAAAATATTCAAATTTACTTACCCGGCGTCGAAAGCTCTTGCTGCGGATTAGGAATTTCAATTTGCTCCTTCTGTTCGAGGGGTTCCAGTTTCAAATTCACAGTATTCCTTGTATCATTTTCGATTTTATCTTTTTTGGTGAAGCTGAGAGGAGTTACTTTATTAAAGTCGCCATCTCCTTCTTCGGTAATGGAGCTATCCAAGTTATCCAATGCCTCCGAACATTTTTCGGAGTAGATATCATTGTCGTCAGATACGAAGTCGGTTTCTTTCGGCGGAGGCACAGAAGGTAGTTTCGTTTGTTTTGCGATATCTTTTGTGGGAGAAAAAGTTTCCGCGGTGGGGGTTTTATCATCAGAGAGAATGCTGGCCACTGTAACAAAAACTTTTGCTGAGAAAATTGAAAACTTTAAAGCAATCACAATTCGAACTGGTTATTTTCAAACAGATACCAGAAAGTATCTTTCAATTTCTTACCACTGATTGGAGTACTGGCAAAATCAGAGCCGGACAGGCTATTAGTCATTAGTTGAAGATTTTGGGTCACTTCGTGTATACTATTTTTCATAGCTGTGTCACTTAACGAACAATCATCATCTTCTACGTCTTCTAGCGCAGCTATATCATCGGTGTTATTATTCACAGACATCAAAGAGGCCATGGACTGCATGTCTTCGTCCCTGAAGAAACAACAATTAGGATAATTATTTTATATTGTTTTTGTACCAAAGAATTTTTTTTGTTCATACCAATAAAAATAAATAAACATTTTAATATTTCACACCATGTTTATGGTTAAATATATTAACCAAAATATACGGTCAAATCAGAAATTGTAATATCTCTTATCTGACCCTATCAGGGGCATCGACATAAAACCTTGTAAATATAATTGTTCTGTGTAAACAATATATTTCAAAGAGTTCCTTCTTCCACAACTCTTTTTCTGCATAATTCTGTCTCATCCTCTCTATGCTTGACTTACTATGACACACTCCCATTTCTCCAATTTTATATAGTCTCTAGTCATTCATTCATTCATTCTCATTTCGACATTACTCTGTTACTCTCCAATCTCCCTCTGCTACTCTGTTCCTCTTCCTTTTTCTGGCTTTCTCAATCTGTCTCTCAGTCAATGTAGATTCCTTCATTTTAAACTGTTTGCTTGTACTTGTCCATATCTCTCTACTATTTGTTCAATTTTGTTATCACTTTCTTAGCATCATTAATTCTTCATTTCCTGATAGTTTTCTCCTCTTCAACACAAGGTTTTCTCTCTCTAGCTCTCTCTCTCTCTCTACCTTAAGCTCTCTGTCCTTCAAGCTCCCTCCCTCAAGCTCTCTGTCCCACAAGCTTCCTCACTCCCTCAAGCTCTCTCCCTCGGGATCTCTCTCTCTTTCTCTCTATCTCAAGCTCTCTCTCTCTCTCGCTTCCTCAAGCAGTCTCCCTTCCTAAAGCTCTCTCTCCCTTAAGCTTTCTCCCTTCCTCAAGCTCTCTCTCCTTCAAGCTCGTTCTCTCCCTCATGCTCCTTTTCTCCATCAAGCTCTCTCTCTCTACCTCAAGCTCTCTCCCTCAATCTATCTCCCCCCCTCAAGTTCTCTCTGTCCCTCAAGCTCCCTCCCTCCCTCAAGCTCTCTCTGGCCCTCAAGGTACCTTCTTCTCTCAAGCTCTCTCCCTCAAGATATATCTTTCTCTCTTCCTCAAGCAGTCTCCCTTTCTCAAGCTCTTTCTCCTTCAAGCTCGTTCTCTCCCTCATGCTCCTTTTCTCCCTCAAGCTCTCTCTCTCTCTCTCTACCTCAAGCTCTCTCCCTCAATCTATCTCCCCCCTCAAGTTCGCTGTGTCCCTCAAGCTCCCTCCCTCCCTCAAGGTCCCTTCCTCTCTCAAGCTCTCGCCCTCAAGATATCTCTCTCTCTCTTCCTCAAGCAGTCTCCCTTTCTCAAGCTCTTTCTCCTTCAAGCTCGTTCTCTCCCTCATGCTCCTTTTCTCCATCAAGCTCTCTCTCTCTACCTCAAGCTCTCTCCCTCAATCTATCTCCCCCCCTCAAGTTCTCTCTGTCCCTCAAGCTCCCTCCCTCCCTCAAGCTCTCTCTGGCCCTCAAGGTACCTTCTTCTCTCAAGCTCTCTCCCTCAAGATATATCTTTCTCTCTTCCTCAAGCAGTCTCCCTTTCTCAAGCTCTTTCTCCTTCAAGCTCGTTCTGTCCCTCATGCTCCTTTTCTCCCTCAAGCTCTCTCTCTCTCTCTCTCTCTCTCTACCCCAAGCTCTCTCTCTCTCTCTCTCCCTCAAGCTCTCTCTCTCCCTCACGCTCTCTCTCCCTCAAGCTCTCTCTCTCCCTCACGCTCTCTCCCTGTCTCAAGCTCTCTCCTGCTCTCTCTGAATAAAAATAAGATAATATCACTTACGTTGCGTTCCCTTCTTTGAGGAGGACGCACGACAAAGTACAATCCAATTTTGCGTTAGTAACTTTCTTTGTGATGGGTTTGAAATTTATCTGAAGTTCTGTATGTGTCGATTCGACACTGGCATATTTCCTCATGTTGACGTGAGCAATGGCAAGTTGTCTTCTTTTTCCTGTTGTTGGAACCTTTAAAATAATATTGCACACGTCATAAAACAATTCAAAACTTATATACAAAGGTTTCTATTTTCAAATAAATAGAACTGCCATTATCAATGAGACATAATTTTCAATTAACAATGGAAATGTTTTTTTTGAAAACAAGCAGGATGAACAAATTGCATATGATTATCATCAGTTTGTTCGAACAATAAAAAATGGGTGAAAAAAGTGCTAATGATGAAATTATTAATTCAATATGATGACCTCAAACAAATTATTCACGAACTCATTACACACAGTTGGAACTGAATTGAAAATAATTAACTGTTGAAGAACATATGAGTATTTGGATTTGTTTCTATATTTTCCACAGATCAATTCCAAGTTTAAGAACCAGAAATAATTGGTAATATAGTATAGAGAAATGCATGAAAATATGCATATGAAAAGAGAATATTTAAAAAAAATTTTTCTTTCTACTTTTCCAATATCAAAAGAAAACGTAGAAGAATTAGTGTTAGTTTTGACGTTTGTGGTAAAAATTAGAAATTACTAATGAAACAGATGAAGGTAAATATGTTGTACCTGTTGTAGCTTTGATAGAAGTATTTTGCTTCAGAAGCTGAGAAGATAAGGAAATAAGGGGATGGATAAGTAATTATTTATCAAATAGGAAACAGAGAGTACATATAAACGATTATTTCTCATCATATATAACAAATCACACAGGAGTGCCACAAGGTAGTGTGCTTGGTTCCCTATTATTCATTCTGTATCTGAATGATATACAATTATTTACAGACTGTGAGTTCATCAAGTTATTTGCAGATGATACCTTATTGGCCTGTACCGTTTCTTCAGAGGGTTTGGTGTTCAATTAGCTTTCCTAAATTAGACTGGAATATATCTAATTTCACAAAACCTTTTCAAATATCTTACAGAAACGCAATTCACTAGTAATAACCCTAAAGAAACCTGCTCTAGTTTTTTGTATGTCCATTTCAACTTTTAAAAAAATCTGTGAATCAAATCAATTTCAAACCACATGTCTCAATTATGCTGAACACATCAAAATCAGAACATCAGCAACATTCAAAATAAATCTTATTAGTAATGTTCATGACACTAACCATATTTAATTGAAATATCAAGTAGATCTGTTAAAATGTAGAAAAAAATGTTTGTGACAATTATTTATTACTATCAATTATTTATACCTTATACATAAATAGTAATAAGCAAAAATTAGTTTCAACTTGTCTCAGACTGAAACTAGACGAGTAAGGAACGACAATAATAACCATCATAGAGTTGTTACTATAAATCAGACACTTTGTGTAGCATCAATTGATCATCACAGACAAGTTGAATAATTATCAGGTCAGATGATAAGGAATTCAATGTGTAAAAATCACTAATAATGACATATGTTATAAATAATAAACACTGAAATCAAAATTCTTGGATAGATCTAAAAAAGGTATTAGTATTCAACCATAGATAGTTAAGTAAGATTTTTTTTAAGACAAAACACAAGCACTACAGGAAAATCCTTTAGGGCGCTCTAAGAGCGGTGCCTGTGCGAAAGTAGCGATTCACATTGGATTTGAATCGCTGGAGATCAAATTCATTTGGAAAACGTTCTCAAGAAGTTTATTTCACATAACTACATTTCCTAAAATGAAACGCAGTTCTCCAGGCCACAGTCCGTCGCGTATTTCTGAACTAAATTAACTGGTGTGGAATCCAATTGTAATAATATTATTATAAGTGTACCAAATGAAGTGACTGAGAAAATTTCATTAGAAACCAGAATCATAAATTGATGAGAATAGACTGATGCCAGAGCTATGTGGAGATGATTGAAAGAAGTGCTTGATGGAATGAAATCAAACACCAGCTCTTATCAAATTTGAAAAACAAGTTTCAGAAATTCGTAAGGGCATTTCAAACAGCGGCGGCTCGTCAGAGGAGGCAAGGGAGGCTTAGCCTCCCCATAAAATTTGAGGCTATTCATCGCAATAAATTAACNATCGAAAGTGTTTCTTTTTTTGCATGGGAAATTGACGAAACTACCGATATTACCTGTACATCACAACTTTCAATCGTTTTTAGATATGTCAAAGATGGTAATATGGTAGAACGTTTTATGGGTTTTCATGATGTTTCATCTGGGCGCACAGCAGACGATTTGTTTAATTTTTTAATTCGTACATGTGACATCTATAATTTTAGGCAAAAGTTAATTGCGCAAACCTATGATGGTGCTGCGGTCATGGCCGGCCATTAAAATGGTTTACAAACTAAAATAAAGTCCAAAGTCCATAGCTCCTCATGCACTTTTTAGGCATTGTCATGCCCATGCCCCAACTTTAGTATTAAGCAAAGCGTGCAACAAAATAAAAAATGTCGCGGCCTCAGGCGGGCTTTTCTGTGTGTATATAGTCTTTATGACTCCAATGCACGTGCCGTCACTGATTGCAAATGCTTTCAACATATACTGTGTAATCAATATAAATGGGATAATCCACAAAATAAAACCGGTTCATACCGGAGTTTTGTTAAAGTTTCAATAAATTCAAGAAGTTATCAATAGTTGAACTAAAATAATTTTCAAATCTCTAAAAACAAAACTGGGTTCATTAATAGGAATATTTCCTATGTGTTGGATAGTAAAAAAAACAATAATACTTGTATCTGTTCAGAATTTGGACCAGTAAATAGGTTACCAGTTAATGAGAAACTTTTGAAATTAGTATTAAAAGAGCAATTATTGACAATTATAAATTACTTACTGAAAAGCACTCAGTATTTACAAAAGCAGTCCTGCAAAACAACCTTCTTGGAAAGTAGATATATTTGACAAACAAAATATTTAGGGGTGTTTTTATAGATTTCCAAGGAGCATTTGAAACAACTGATGTGGAATTATTACTTTTGAAAATGAAAAAATATGGTATAACAGGTAATATTTTGAAATGTTTCATAAGCTTATTTCAGAGAGGAACAAGTAGTAAAATACACAAATCGGAAAAGTCTAGGGATATTTTTATAACATACTAAATATCATAAAAATAAATGCATGAGGTCGTTTAATTTCGATTAAATTGGTACAATCGACCACCCTGTAGATTTCTATGGGTTGAACAAAGCCTGCAAAAACGGTAACTAATCTTTTATCAAGTTTTTTATCTCGAATTTTTTTTAAATTCTTACTTTAAACTCAGAATTTTCTTGAAGTCTTACTCTAAACTAGGAATTTTCTTAATTCTTTCTTTAAACTTGGAATTTGCTTGAATTGCTACAATAAACTCAATTAATGTAAAAAAAAAATAGTATAGGTGAAAGTATAATGTACTACAGTTTAAGGAAAGAATAAGAGATTTATCAAAAATAAGAATCAGTAATAACGAATGAAATAATATGAAAACTTACTGGATTTGGCTTTGGCAAGTCAGAGAAGATATCGCTTTTTTTATCTGCGTTGTCAGCCGAGTCTAGATTAACGTTAACGTCCCCGTTCGTTTGGGGAATTCCTTCGACATCTACTTTTTTATTTACAGAAGGAGGATCATCCTCGTCGTCGGAACCAAACGGATCAGTCAGCTCTCTCCTTGTCATGAGTATTGGTTTTTTGGATTCGGTTTTCTTTTCTTCCTGCTTCTTCTGTTGTTGCTCTTGTTTGTCCCGTGCTGGAGATGATATAACCTGGAATTATAATAATGATGATAAAATTATTTATTGACATACCCTATAAAGCAGAAAAACAAATTCTAAAAGAAGACTATATGGAAAATAAATACCTTACTAATCACCAATCAGTAGAGTGAAAATGTAATTAAATGATAATTATCCATATTTGATTCATTAATATTTGTTACACCATAGAATAAGTCTCACATTGTCTAGGTGAGAAATCCGAAATCAGGTCGATTTGGGAAAATCATTTAAAAATAGGAATACCTTAGCTAAGAAACTTGAAAAATTGGGTTGAAAAAATAGGAATTTTCTAGCTGAAAAATCAAGACTACTGGTTCAAAAGATAAGAAGTTTTTAGGTAGGATAGCTTGACAATTTTCAGGTAAGATAGCTTGAAATTTTTTTGGTAAGATAGCTTGAATACAAGAATACAAAGAAAAATCTATTTATTTTCAAGTTGAGATTTTTTAGAAACCTAAAAGATCATTACCTGAGTGTTTACAGTCATATTCAAACCTTTCACATTGAAACAAATAAAACGATTTAGGCACATATTCAAAAAGGAGTGTGCTAAATAAATTAAATGTCATGTGCAAAATTGAAATATATAGTGTAATATTATTTGCCACTATAATTAGTATGCTAACTATATTTTAAAATCATTATTAGTTATAGTTGAGTATTTAACGTTATTCAACAGAGATATCTTATTTTCATAATAATTCACTTGTGTTGATATAGCACCTTGAATGTTACTGAATCTTGTGAGCTTTTGTGCCAAGATATTTTAGAATTGTTATACTTACATCTTCGATTATGAATGANTGAATATAAAATCAAGTTCAAGATAAATACATATTTTGCTATAATGAAATAATGTACGTGCTTAAGAAACACTTTATATATCCGAATGTATATCATCTAAATATTCAGAATTAAAAACTCAATGTTCTGTGAGATTTTTACTATCAAGTAACCAAATAGAACCACATATTATTCAAATTATAAAGCTATAAAAAGTTAATTAAATGGGTATTGAATTCAATGCATTGAATTATTTCTGAAAACTTTCCCTAGTGACTTTTAAACTCTCACTTAATACTTAGTGAATATTACATATCCACTCATTGCACCACCTAAAGTTACACTTGAAAAAATAAAACTATATTTGGTTTCTGTACATCATGCTCCAATTAGGAAGTGATATTGTTTCAATATTAAGTACAGCTGACTACATTCTAAATATTCTATAATCCCCAATGCGTTTCGTCTGATTTCCTATTTCCTTTACATGTTTCATTATCTGTCCACATCCTGAATGAATAATAAGTGGGCAACTGTTTTATTTACAGCTGATAAAATTCGCTATTGTTATTGTCAGGACCTACTAAAATAAAGCAGCTTTACAGTTATAGTAGATATAACAGTGAGATAATTAGTTTAGAAATAGTATTTTCTGATTGTTTACTTGCTTTTTTTTTCTTAAAACGACCTAACAAATCACCCTCTTGAGTTTCGTACCATAGTTAGGAAACACGCTGTATAGTCAATAATATACAATAATATACAGTCATTATAGTGTTTCATACTGAGGAAATTAGTGTGTTGATAAAAAAAGAATAGCACATAATGTTTACAAATGCTAATAATACAACAGAAATCATATACAAATCATTTGAGACTATCACATATACATACATTATATACTCATGTTTTACTTTGATTGTAATGTTTTTTTAAACGTGCGCTTTTTGTATACACAGTATTAGTAAGTATTAAGTGAGTTAGATAAGTAAATGTTGGCACACGATTTGGTACTTGACACTCAACAGCTAAACTGATAGTGAATCGAAACTTTTTCCTAGTCATTCAACTAAGTAGTAAGTACATTAAAAAATATACTTTTGAACATCTTTTGATAGAGTGAAATGAAAGTGTTTTCTCTGGATTCATTTTACTCCACAGATTCCAAATCTACTTATCACATTTTTGCTTCATTCAACTGACAATTGCTTTTTGCATATCAATGAAGTACTATTAACAAAATAAAACAATAACAGTCTATCGTTTATAGATACTGTCACAAAATACAGAAACTATTACTTGTATATGAAGAACTCTTGAAATATTGTTGATAAGACAATTCTGCTAGTTGTTATCTAAACAAGAACATGCTATCTTGATAAATAAGATTAAATAAAGTAAGTAAAGTTATTCAAGGTGGTATTCTATTGTGGATAGGCTTTAAAATCCCTGTTTGATTCAGTAAGTTACCACTGAAGTTACCACACATAAATTGTAATTTCTAATGAAAAACATAAATGTTGAAGTTGACTTACCATTTTGATGTGAAATCAACAGACAGCTGATGATAAGATACGGTGAAGTGAAATTTGGCAGCCTTCTTGTTCACCCGCTGCAGTCTTTTCCATACAGAGCCCATACTCGAGGTATCGACACCAACACAAGACTGCATTTTGATAATTGTAAATGAAGATTTATTCTATATCGAACAACGAAACGCTACACTACACATGCGGGTATAAAATGTTCAAAATAATAAAAACATGCAGACAATGCAGAAGACACAGGATGCCATAATCAGTCTTATCACAAAGTCTGAACCACATGACTTATTTTGTTGTTTGGCACCAAATGAAAAGTTCACATTCAATTCTCAGCATAAAATTGATAGCAAACAGTTAGTACGAGTAATTAGACCAAGCAAAATGCGATATTTTGAAGAACTTTGACTTCAAAATTATTAACCTTGCCTGAATCATTTGACACAAGGGTCAATTCAAGGCATCGGTAGTTATGGAATTTTTTGCGATACACGTCCTGGTTATCCATGCAGCAACGTACCTTACACTTGAATATCACTTATTTACACATTTTAGCAATCATTCTTTGAATATCAATAATATATTTATTTTTAACTTATGACAATGTAATCTGTCAAAATTTCGTCACACATTGCTCCCAGGCTCGGAAACTCTGAGAAAAACAAATCAGAAATAAAAACAAATAGGGTTTGTTCGTTTGTATTTTACGCCATGACTGTGTAGGACACAAAATTGGATTTATGTGTCATTTGTCAAACCGTAAGAACAACTACACTCTATGATTCGAACGTTGACCTCAACGAAAACATCTATTATTGCTAAACATTGAGATATTAATTGGTGATTCTTCGTACTGCAATATTCGTTTTGACACTTGTGACAATATTTGTTTTGACACTTGTGAACGTCAGCTATTCGTGATGAGGAATAGAACTCTAGTTTTTAATGAGTCCACTATAATGAATATGTCCGAAAACTATCAAGAACTCCTTAGTAGATCCGGATATAGGAAAGAAATAAAACATTTGACTCAGAATCGTTAAAACAATCGATTAATCTTAATGGAAGAGTATTTTGCATCACAGTTGACATACACACACAGGTGTACATTTTTATATTTATTAAATTTTTTGGCTACATACCTATTATATGTCCTGTATCATTTTTTCAAATCCGATTGTTTCTTTTCTATTGTTCTATTCTTTTAAAATAAACATTCATATATACATGCTAGAATGTTGAACGAAAAATAAAACACTATCATTATCATCATTTTCATTTATACATCAGAAAATATATCTCAATTATTTGTTTTTCTTCAGTTTTTGCATTGATATATTGATACTAATTGACATTGGTCTCACCGTATAGGTTGAACACGATTACCAATAATCCAAAATATGTAATATATATTCATTCGCACACGTTCATTCAATGGAGATGAAAAATCTGATACATTCATATCAAAAAAATGATATTTCAGTATCTTATATACAATAAAAACACAATAGTGAAAATGCAAGTTCCAAATGAGAGTTCTTGAAAATTGGCCAGAGCTGTATCAGGTGAATACGATGGCTGTTCGATGAGATTTGTTGAGTTTCTAGCTAAAAAGTCGTTAACATTAATAGATTTTCAATTACCTGATCTTTGTCGACGAATTTGCTCCCTCAAACGTCGCATAACGCTTACAGATAATATTCTTTATTTACTGTTCAACCTTCTGGCAAAAATTCCTACTACACAAATAGTGGAGTAATTGAAAAAATAAATAGTTACAATCACCATCTCGTTTGATATTTTGACGAGCTTTTTTCTATTTCGGTTGAGTTGAAAAGCGTCATTCCATAGTTTTCTGATTGGTTTGCAAGTCAAATTCGTAAATCCATGTTTCATCACCATTTGCAATACACTTAATGAGTTTTTTTGTATGAAATTCAGGTCATTCGACACTAGTCGAGCGGCAACGCTTTTCTTGCCTAAAAATCGTTTAAAATAGTAGGAACTGACTCGTAAGATGTAGACATTTTAGCGTCTATCTTTCTCAGATTTAAACGATTTCCAGCCACCATTTCCATTACTTCAGTTATATTAAGTACTAAGTTCCGTTGATGATATTTTGATGACCGACCAGAGCGAGGCAAATCTTTCACCACATATATCGACCGCTTTTAAATGCAGTGTACGTCTCGTACGCACGTGTTTTTCATTAAGTCGATTTACTGAAAGTCTTATGCAACATTTTTAGTGCTTCGTCGGTCGGTCGGTAGCCAGGCGGTTCGTCGTGGGTGTTTTGTTAACCCTTTCGAATTGACTGCCGTGTTGGTCGGTGATTTAAGCCCTAGTCTGAACGATCGATTTTTCACTTACTATCGTCCAACCCGTGTTAGGAATCACACGTTTAAAGGTAAGACCTCTTTAATCCTTAGCTCGCACAAGTTTCGACTTCTGAGGGTTGTCGTTCGTAGGGGTGCGAGAGCTGATTAACGGAAAAACAGATTTTTTTCAAACATAAGAAGTTCCATTTGCATAGCAAAATTTAAGACATGTTCCCTTTTTACATATTATGACCCATTCATGTAAAAAACCCAATTTTTGTGAGTTACGCTTTGTTTTTGCATTTTGGGTTGAATAACTACACCCATGTATTTACTATATAGTACTTTTTTGTATTTTTTTATCATCTATATTTTCGCAACAAAAGCAGATAACGACAATCTAAGAATAATTGAATGTCATCACCACTTACACAAAAATGGGTAAGTGGTGTGTACTATGGGACGATTTTATTTTCGTAATTGAAGAAACAGTAAAAATGACCCTATTTCAAAGATTTTTCTCAAATTTTCAAGAAACCAGTATTTAATGATTGGGTAATAGACAATACTGAAAGCCACTCTCCTATCAATTACTGAAGTAAATCTCCTGGGTTGGGCTACCTATCGGACGCGCCTCCAGCTGGCGGATAGGGCAGCGGCCAGGGGACTGAAGGCCGTGTCCGGGAAGCCAACGTGGCCTTACGGACGGGGTCGCCGGACTCCTGCTCAGTGGCAGAAATAAGTAGGGTGAGGGGAACTAAAACTCCTCAATTGCTGATGATTAAAACCGTTCTCATGCCCATAATACTTTACGCATGCACTGCCTGGGGCCAGTGCGCACAGACATAAAGAAAGAGGATACAGTCGTTCATGAACGCGAGCGTAAGGGCTGCCGTGAACGAACCGTACTACATCCCCAATAGACTTATATACAGAGACTTAGACCTGGACACGCAATATGTGGACGTGTATGTGAGAGAACACGCAGAAAGCGTGTTCGATAGAATCAGATCGCACAACAACCCAGCGCTACGCGATCTACACGATACGTTAAACATGGATGACCTCAGGTTCCGAGAAAGGGACAAACACCCAAGGCTGACGAAACAGAATCTACGACCACCCCCATGATTCGCCGTCAGGCGACTCCGGTAAGCATATTAATCAGACTTTCTTTCAGCAAGTTCACCGCAGAACAACTCGACCGCGATGCAATTATCCTCAGATTCACTGAGAAACGCTCGACGCTAATAACAATAGCCACCGGTTAGTTTTGGGGTCCCCATGCAAAAATTCAGTTAGGAATAGTCATGACAAAACATTTTTACCGATCGCGAAAGAATAGCACCTAAAGGCTAACTTTCGACCAAAAGAGGTCAGATGTCAATCTTGCTGAAGTACCCATCAGTAAGTTGAGGACCGCTCGGAGAGCGGGGGTGGATGGAATGGGGTAGTAGGTTCTCCTCGCTAACTAGTTGAGGGGGGAAGCTTCTACTTCAGGGCACTCAACCCGGGAGGGGGCAAACTCCCCAAAAGCCTTTGCAAAACATGCCACCGTGGACCAGCCTACCCAAGCTAAGCCTACCCCAGCTGAATGGCCGCAGGGTGATATGCGGTTACGAATGAAACCTCATTGTGATCAGCCTATCTCTGGTAATGTTCGGCTCTGTCAGAGGTGACCAACTCTTCCCTTGCTACTAGTGGGAACACACATGAATGAAACAAACACAAAAACAACAAAAACCAATCCCGAAACTGGACAGAAGTGCTCACCTCAATCTTAGGCGGTGGCTGGGGATTAACAGAAATGTCCAATCCAATCTACCGCTTGGAATGAGACTGGACATAACAGATCACCTCGTGATGTAATACAAAGGCCAAGGCGTAAGCCCATTTGCGGCGCCGAGGACAAAAGGAGATAGAGAGCGAAGGAGGTAGGAGTGGCAGCAACACAGTGCAGCCTCCTCCTCCCTCACTCCACCTCCAACAGCAAGGGCAGTTCCTGCGGTGGGCGCCAAGAGCTCCGCCTTGTATAAAGGCAAGGAACCGGGGGCCCCTGCAGGAAAGCTTCCTCACTTGTGCACCTTCACGGAGGAAACCCCATGAAGGTTGAAGAAGCCGCGCAACGACAGTAATGTCGCTGCACCTTCCAAAACCTTCGCGGATACTACCGTGAGACACCTCGAGGTTGCCAAAGAGAGTGTGTGTTTGGCGAGTCTTGGTCTACACCTGCCAATATAATGTCTCCTAGTGACCTGCTCACCTTCCTGGAAAGGACAGTATGGACGATGACCTAGGAGGACAACTCCTCAGGAGAATGTACAATGGGTCACATGTGGCCTAAGAAGTATATCACTGTCACTCTTTTTATCAACAGATTGAATTTCTTTGAAAGTTTAATTAGTGTTTTGAGATTGTTCAATTATAAGAAAATGTGAAGGAGATTCATTTTCAATTATAGTATCAACATAGATATTCTCAACAATCTTCTGATGTCGCCAACTTGGATGGCGAGTTAACAAAATTGTCATAGGTCCGGTGTTGAATTAAAAAGTCCTTATTTCTATTGAGTTTCTTATAACTAATCTTAATTTCTACTGAGGTATAATTTTCACAATACATGCCTTCTCTCTGGTGAAAGTAAAGAGAGGATGTTACCTCAAAATATATTTTCAGTCTTTTCAGTAGAAACACTAATCTTGTAGTGGAAGTCGGATAGCAGTGGAAGAATCAAATTTCAGTACTATTCAGTTAATTCTATCGCAACTGTGATTAGTGTTACTACTGGTACTAGTAACCTAAAAAGTATTTTGTGCCTTTAGGTGTTACTCAGTCAGTATCAATTGTGGCAAGAATGCTACTATTCACTTATACTTTTAAAATCTCACTATTAGTTAGAGCACATCTGCCCCAGAAGATTAACAATTACATCCTTATCGGTTCTATATCTTTCATGGTCCTAATAACAATGTACTGAAGATCCCCGAAAAAAAAGTTACACTTTGAAACGTTATAGAACCAAGATGGATACTCAATATAAAATAAAAAACAAAAACAGCAGATAAAGTAAAATTTGTGGTTCCTTACTTGCACTTATCTTTGGGTTCAGTCAATTTAGTTGGAAAACTGCAAGAAATCACCATAATCACTATATATATTTATGTTCATCACAACCTAGACATCTATCACATTTGCAGATTGCATGAAAATAAAGTTATCAAATCACTCAGTCTCTGTTTCTATAAAAAAATACCCGTATTTTATGTGAAAAATTAGTTATCAATACACCAACCATTTACTTGATGAGAATTAATAACACTATCCATGATAATAATTATATCATTTTCACTAATATTTTATTTAAGACACGTTTCGCTATAGAATAGCTTTATCAGTTAGAATAGTACATTCAAGTATTCTACAATGTGTTTTATATAACAGTAAGTAATTTAAGTAATTGCAATTCTCAATTAGATAAATGATTATTTTTGATAAACAGGTAGATGTTGAAAAACAGTTACAATACAATATCACATCTAGGAAAACAGGTAAAAATTGGCATTTACATCAAAACTTAAATGGATGAATGATTCATTTTGGCAAAATACATAGATTTTTATAAAACAATTACTTCTAGGAAAACGGATAAGTTATAAATATGGCACTCATAGACATTTTATGAAAACTAATTTATTTATGCTGTTTTTTAAATGACCAAAAGTTATTCACTCACCATTATCAAACAATTGAAAATTAAATATGAATAGCTGAAAATAACAATTATATCAAGGGAAAAAACACCTGAAATGCATTAAAAAAATCTAAATTGAACAATTTTTTAACATTTTTTTTATTCTGTTTTTGTTTCATTGTCCAATTTTCAATTTTTTGCTTGTATTTTGTTTCACTGTAATTGCTTTTCAGGGTTTTTTTGTTTGATAATTGTTATTTTCAGCTATTCTTTTTTAATTTTTTTTTAATGGTTCTTTCAGATATTTCAAATCATTTTATATCATATTCATATTAGACAATGAGAATCCGAACTAATGAAATTCAAATAAGAATAGTTTGTTGAATGTGAAAACCATTTATTGAATAGAACTGGCCGATACTTGATGAAAATCCATGTTAAAACTAATTAATAAAGTTCATTGAATGATTTTCACTATAAAGGGTTTTACAAAAACCGTGACACGTTTTGCTATACAAGCACTTTCTCAAGCATAAATTAAAACTAAAAGTTACTTCTAAATTACAACCATTTCATACTCTAGGTAGGTAATAGGTTAGAGTATAAAATGGTTGTAATTTAGAAGTAACTTTTAGTTTTGATTTATGCTTGAGAAAGCGCTTGTATAGCGAAACATGTGTCACGGTTTTTGTAAAACCCTTTATAGCGAAAATCATACAATAAACTGTATTAATTATTTTTGAAAACCATTTTCACATTTGCACACCATCTTCTGATACAGAGGAATGGGTTCAACCACGACCATAAAATAAAGATTGAAGAACCTAATGTATTTAAGAATTCTGAAAACTTACTCTATGACCAAATAAAATCGAGCTATTCTCAAGCATTGTAAAGTGTCCAGTGAAAATCTTACCATAAAGTGTTACTTGTCAAATCCATCACATGCTGTTCCATTACAAAATATTAATTGTTTGATAATTCAAGTCCTAGGCGCTGACGCCTGTTTTTTGCTTTAATTATTTGAAAAAAAAAAATAGAAAGGAAACGGCAGTCAAATACCTTTGGAAGCAACCACTTACGAGCTACCGCTTACTTCGAGGCAACAGTGGTTCTTTTTCCAGCATTGCTGAATTCTTTATCAAATTTGCTGATGTGAACGTGGCAGGAATTTCATACTCGACTTCCGCCTTCATTGTGTTGATGCTTGATTCGAATTTGGATACGTTTTCAAAATTTTTAAACACACGCTCGGCACTGTCTTCAAGAAAAACATATGGTCTGGATGGGGAGAGACAAGGCTCTAGTGGTATAGATATCTTAACATCCACAGTGTCCTCTGGCACGAACTCCTGAGACATTTCAAAAGGTTTTTTCATGTACGGAATGCCATCGTCCTCACCTCCCATGGCGAAGCTGCAGACATCTCCTATTTCTCGATGGAATACTGAAAATGTATTGAAGAAGGTCACTATTTGGTGTGACCTAGGATAAAGCCAAAAAAGCATCAAGATGGGAGTAAGAATCGGGGAAAGCAACCATTCCAAAATCCCAACTGCTCGCAATTGAAAAAGCTGAAGTATTTGTTGCATGTCTTTGTTTCTTGATGGACATTGCGTATGTGACCAACTGTATGGTTGATGATGGGTGTACTCAACCACTTGTTTGAGAAGTCTATCCGGATCGTCAATTTTAGTTTTATCCGGGGTAAAATTCCTGCAGGACGCAGCAACAATTCCCAGAAAAGACGTGATGGACAGCACATGATCTACACTGATCACGTCCTTGTCGTAAATCATCAGCCCTACCAGAACCACGAAGAGAGACCCGCTAACAAATCCTATATGTTTCGCTAATTCCGCGAAGATGGGTCTACTGAAAGTTGATAAGTATTCAGTGGTTGGCCCATAGGCTCGACAGAGCCGGATATGCAATTCTTCTTCGAATTCGTTGAAATGTCTCAAGTAAAGTTTCGAGTATTTCGACCAGCGGCGAATGCTAAAAGCGCCTGGTTGTCGCTTGAGTAGTTCGCCATAGTTTAAAACTCCGTAGAAGATCTGACAGAAAAAAATTAATGGAAAACATACAAGATTTATGAAGGCAAGAGTCTCTATCAATTTTCCCAGTTTTTTTGCAGCTCTGTTACTTTCTTTACATTTTTTGTACTCTTCATGTATTTCCCAAGAACTCTTGAAGACTGACCATCGTGTCAGGAAAAGTATTAAACGAATATTCATCTCGAATCCACTGGTCCAGAAAACAATCTTTGGTAGGAAAGGTATGCATATCGTTGGAGGCAGCAATTCCTGTTGCATCAGCCCTTTTAAAAAATTTTCATGTCTCAAAATACGATGACAGATGTCCATATCTGTTAGCTCTTTTTTGATCACACATATATTCAGCTTCAACTGCGCGTCTCTGATTTTCTTGAGAATTTCCCTCCAAGTCAGGTTATCTAAATTGTCATCGTTAACTTTGAGAACATCGTGGTAAAACTGTCTCGTTTCCCACATGAGCGCCACCTGGTAGATTCTTATAAAAAATAATAATAGCCACGCTCCTGATAGTATTCCTAGAATGAGTTTTGTTAAACCAGTGAAATTACTAATACACTCATTCAGTGGCAAAATAGTATCATATAATGTAACTTTGCCATGACTAGAGGAGAACGTAGCTTGTGAATGGGGCCCAGCGACTGGATTATTTCCAGGGACATCAGCAAAAAGAACAGAGTATTCGATTCCATGAAAAAGATATATTGCTAAGAAAACAACGAACATATAGTTAACGAGCTCTAGAATTCTACCCAAAACTATAGTGAAAAATCCCCGCTTCTGGTGATAGACATATAGTCTCCTGAAGAACAAATCCAAATCTTTGATATTGCTCCATTTTGAAGACATTTCGGCTTTGTGATGCAATGTATTCTGGTCCAAGGATTCATGCGATACACAGTTTGAAGACATGGTGATTGTTACTGATCCTGAAATTAAAACAAAATAATAATAATCTCTATTCACCATTTCGTTACTTAATATAGGAATGAACGAATGAATTAATTTTTAGTTACAATTTCTGATACATTAGAAAATATCTGATATAATATACCTAGAGCCTGTGGGACTCCATTCTCAGTAGGCAGAAGGTTAGAGAAATTCCCGTCCATCGAAACGGATTAGATTTTTCGAATGAGCCTGAATTAATCAGACTTTTATAGATAATAAATAATGAAGGACCAAGTACGGATCCCTGAGGTACTTAATGTTTGACAATTGTATTGCTGCTTTTTTGCCAAGAAAAATTGTATCAGGTCATACGCTCTGTACCATATTTTACAAGTTATGGTTACAGGTTATGAGAAACACTGTCAAAAGCTTTAGATAGATCACAGAGGAGTGAACGACTGCAAAAGAACAAATTTTTAGAATGTGAAATGCTATGAAGAATATTCATCAATGTAGTAGCAGTGTTAGTTTACTTATACATTCACGGCAAGCAGAATTTCCACTATTTTTCGAATGATATAAGTAATGGTTATAAGTCTGTAGTTATTGCAATTATTGGGATCATCCTTCTTCGGAATTGGTGTTGCTTGGCATAATTTTAGATTTGAAGGAAACATTCTCTCAGAGAATATATTTGCTAGAAGTGTCAAAGGTTTACTAAATACATGTGAAAGCCTTTGATTCAGTAAGAAATGAAATTATGATCAGTAAATTGTAGGTACAACATTGGTATCAGAGGATTCGTACTTGAATGGATTAAGTCAATTTTATCTGACAGAAAAATGGTTGTGACTCTGAACAACACTGCATCACATATTCAAGATATTATGCTTGGTGTACCACAAGGTTCAATATTGGGACCGCTGCTGTTTTCAATCTATATAAATGTATAAATGTAACATGGTTACACCGTAACCATGTTTGATATAATCAGTGTCTGGTAACACAATAGATGAGTTAGAATTCAATATAAACTCAGTCATGGACGCTATAGTTTCTTGGTGTGACAGAAACCAACTGAAACTGAATGCAAATTAAATATTTTACTTGGGTTTCTCCTTGAGAAAGACATTGAATCTTAATAACGTCCAACTATCTGATGCAGCCAAACTCTTCGGTATGTACTTAGATAAAACCTTGTCTTGGGAGCCTTACGTTGATCATGTGTGTAAAAAATTGAATCCGGCAATATTTGCAATACGCCAGCTCAAAGAGTTGCTAGACTTATATGGTATCAAGATGGTCTATTATTCTTTGGCCTATTCTCGCATGGCTCAAAATATACTAATGTGGGGTACTTCTGCTGGCGCAAGACGTGTATTTATTCTACAAAAAAGAATCATGAGAATAATATTTGACATTGCACCGAGATATAGCTGTAGAGCTTTATTTTCAAAATATAAAATATTAACTTTACCCTGTATCTATATTCATAAAGTTCTGTTTCATGTGAGATGATACAACATACTTCATTTCAATCACGAGTCAGTCACTCATAATTATGCAACACAAACTAAACACTTGACCATCACAAAACACAAAACTTCGACATTCAGGGAATCTCTAAGGTATAACGGCATCATACTTTTTAATTCATTGCCAGTCAAGGACCTACACTTAGTAAGTTTCAAGAACCATATCAAAGAGTTATTGATGAACGGGGAGTATTATAGCTTAGATGAGTTCCTGCAAAGGGATGTCTTGATGTTGTTGTTATGGTGTTGAAAAATGTTAATTTACATTTCCTATTATTATTTATATGTGATATTTTCGTTTTGTTTTCTGAAAAAGTTGCTCATTTACATTAGTACCTATTCATATGATATTTTTTTATTCATTTTCGAATAATACAGTGAATAACTATATTTCTCAAAATACTGGGGACTAATAATACATGTCAGTACTCTTTTTTGCATTTTTGTTTTATTTATTTGATTTTTCTATCCAAACAGACCAATCTGGTCTAATTACACGAATAAACTATATGCAATGTTAAATCGAAAATCAATGATTTGGTTTCTACAGCAACATAGATATTCAGTAGGTGATTCACATTTATATTTCTGGAGTGGAAGTAGAATTTCCCTATACATAGAGAGTATAGCACAAACTTCATTTGAGAAATTTTACAGAATATCTAAAAAATTGTTCAGACCTCTCGGTATCCATTTCATTTCCCCAAGGAGCAAAAGGATCTTGTTGCAGCCCTGGTCTATCACCAGGTCCAAAAACAGCATTTATATTTTTATGGAAAAATGTCAAGTTTTATAATTTGAAGATGATGTGCAATTGTTAGATCTCTGAGAAAGGAATACACTGCTTCAACAAAAACTATTCTAAGGAAATTTCCCTAAATCTGTGATATAAGTATGTGTGATTGATGACTTGTTTACTTTATGGTAATTCATGATCACTTAAATGAAATGAATAAAAACACTTTTGTCTAAATACCACTGGAAAATTTTATTTATACGACCGGTTTCGGGTTTGATCCCATTATCAAGTATAAAACTGAAATCTGAATTTTGGAGCATCGATTTTATAGAATTTTCAGGTATGCTGCAAGGACAGGTATTTGAGAGATAGGATGCCAACTTAAAATACCATCCTGAAAATTCTAAGGGTTGTTAAACTCAAATTCAAGAGAGGAGACCTATATAAATCAAGTTGCTCATTTGGGGGTATATGTTTCTGGTTTTTAATTGATTTGTTAATTTCCATGGCCTCCAACAGATTCATTTTTCTCCCTTTATTACATATATGTAGGATTTTGAGGTTATCTTCATTTATCTTGTGGTTTGATTCTTGAATATGTTCGTACATTGCAGAATTTTTGTCCAAACAGACGTGTTCACGCAGTCTTATTTCAAAATTTCTACCGGTTTGGCCTATATAAGTATACTGCAGAGCATTCGTCACACTCTATTCTATATATACCTGACTTTTTCATTCTATCCAGTTTGGGTTTTGCATTAAACATGGTTCTACCTAAATTATTATAACTTGTGAAAGCTGTTGAAATTTTGTATTTAGAGAAATATCTGAAAGTTTACCTGAGTAATTGATGCTACTGTACTTGACTATATTGTGTTCTCTAAAGTTTGGATATAATTCACTCATAAGTGTTTTGTGAGTTTTAACTGATATTATTTTTTCTATTAGGGAAATTGGTACCTGATTGTTCACTGCAATTTGCTTAATTATTTTTATTTCATCTTGGAAATTCTTTTCCGGTAAAGGGATTGCGAAAGCTCTGTGNAACAAACAGTGACTACAATCACCCATCCTATTGTTCCAACTATTAACAAAGATTAGACAATTAGTAACATCATCATTTTGGATTTAAATTTGACTTATGATAATAGATAAATTACACCTACCTCCACAAGCAGATATCAAAATAACTGAGAAGAAAGAAACAATAAAGCGAAGTCAAACTGCAGATTCACAAATCCGAACAAAACTACAAATTTAAAAAATGGCCTTACAGTGTTGCCAGAAGATTGATATCAGGTATGACTACTTTTCGTTTATAAACTTGGTGCAATTCATTCAATACACGATGTTTTTCCATTCTCATCCTATTCAAAATGAAATATTGTTTGTCATTATTGGAGATTGTGGAACCGTAAATGCAATAATCTGATAATAACAGCATGAAGGGAACTTCATTTCTCGAGAATGTAAAAAATTAAAGTGTTGAAAAAGAGAGGTAGAAGACAAACAGGCTCTAACCTCAAGACTTGAGAAATGGTTCAAATTGAATAGATTTACTAGAAAGAATATTTTGCTCCTCAACGAAGTTGAAAAAAAACTAAGTGTAAAGTTATTTGTCTATAGTTCTTCAAGAGATGAGGGTCAAATTTTTTATCATTTGGAACAATTTTACCAGTTTTCGAACTAGCAGGAAAAATTCCTGATTTGAATGTTAACTGAATGAGTCAAAGGATTTATATGAATGGTAATTTTTATTACTTAGATTTCATGCATGATAATGTTTTTGAGCATTCTGTTGCTTAGATAGACAGAGTATAAGTGGACAGTTCTTCATTGAAATGCTCTCCTCACGAAGTGAGAATAATCTACTTAATCTTTCGCGAAATAAATAAATGAATGATGTTCGTGTATGCAATTGTATAGCAGGTTAGTTCAATCTTCAGAAATCAATTCAATTCAATTCAAAAATGTTTATTCAAGTTTTAGTTAAATTACAATATGTTTGTGGTCGTAGTGTGTTTTGAGAGGGGCCCTGCTACAGGCTTATGCCTCTTCAGGAGATTGTGTGTGAGTTGTCTTATGTTGTGTTGTAATGTGTTCGTCTTGTTTTTCCTTTGTTCCGTTAGAGCGGTCCGGTTTCGTTGCGGTGGTCAGTTTTGACATAGGTCCAGGTTGTTAGGCCAAGGATTGAAGTTGTGCGATTTCAGCTCTTTCCAAGACGCAGCTGTCCGCTATCCAGTAGATCGTGGCTTTGTAAGCGAGAACTGGTCTGATAAAAGTTTTGTGAGTGTGTAGGAGGGTTTTTCTGTCGCATGTCCCGAGCTTACCTCTCAGTGCTTTCAGTAGATTTGCTCTTTTCCGGACTCTGTCCAGAGTTTCTCCCAGGTCGACTTACCAGTTGAGGGTCCTCGTGAAGGTGACCCCCAAGTAGGATACCGAGTCTTGGAGTATGAGGTTTTCTCCTAAAAGTCTGAGGTTCAAGTTATGGGGATGTCTGAAAAGTGTGGTTTGGGTTTTGGTGGGATTTATTTTCGATACGCCACTTGTTGCACTAGTGCTCGAAGTGGTCGATCATGGTTTGTGTTTGAATTTGTAAGCTGCGGGTGTTAAGAGCGGAGGAGTAGAGGATAATGTTGTCGGCATACTGGAAGATAAGGAGGGCGCAAGGACTGAGCCCTGGGGAACACCTGATTTGGGTGTTAAGGAAGAGGATAAGTCGTCTCCGACTTTAACGCGGATTTGTCGGTCGGACAGGTACACGAATCTACTAGTCGGATGAAGTGGTGTGGAAGACGAATTTGGATGAGCTTCCAGATCAGGCCCGCGTGCCATACCTTGTCGAAAGTTTTCTGAATATCTAAGAGGATTGCGATAGTGCCGAAAGAAGAGTTGATATTTTGGGAGATGTGAGTGCATTCTGGGTGGAATGTTCGGGCCTGAAACGAA